CAACTCTGCTCACGGCCACAAGACTACTAGCAATATTTGTGCTACTTGGCGTACTTCTATGGGTATTACTCTATTCCCCCATCCTGCAGTTAGCCCTGATATGAATCCTATTGAGAAGTGCTGGAGGAGAATAAAACAAGCTCTCCATAGGCGCCTAAGGCAGCCAACAACTGAGGTTCAAATGGTTGTAGCAGTATTAGAAGAATGGGACAAAATTCCTCAGGAATGGATCAATGGGCTTATTGAGCAGCAGGACTTCTGGGTACACGACTTAATTAAGCGATGTGGCTGGTCTACAGCTAATTAATTAATAAAATTCATGATTCTGATGCCCTGAACGCACGGACTTTTGTCCCCATGTTCGTTAGCCCCTGGGTAAGTGAAGTTACGAATCTCAAATACATGGTTCTCGTGTATCGCATGTGATCAAGACGGAATCACGATCTGATAAAAACAGAGGGAAGAAGTTGTTTCACTTGATTTATTACAGTATTTTCTACGGAAACAGTATGTTGTACTGTGTAGGGTATCATGTATTTAACCCACGCCCAAGCCCAGATCCACCTTATCCTGCCTGCCAAAGGAGCTCAAAGGCCGTCACTTCGTGCGACACCAAACCGAAAAGTGACCCTTGCACATAAAATACGTGCATCATGTACAGCTACAGGTACATGTTTGCTTCCGTACACACAGCCAATCCCAGACGCCACAGTTTTGCATCTCTTAGGCCAATAAACGCCAATTTCCCCCGAAAACCAATGAGACCACAATCATGTGCAACCCAGAGGCCCCCAAAGGCCCCCAGGGGCCTGTGAAAAACCCTTCGTGCATGGTATCATCTCAACAAAAGAAAAAGAAAAAGAAGATGCACATCCCTGGTGGGGTGGCAGGAATGAAAGAACACCACCATCAATGGCGGGGTTGCAGAATCAGTCCACATAGACATTGGTGAGCTGAGCAGAACCATGCAAATATGCACATTCGAAAAGAATCTTGTTTCAGGAGTGGGACTGGAAGTCCGCAGCGATGGCGAGCGCGTCAAGTCCACTTTGCTCACTCTCGTGTCGCCCTCCGACCGGTCGGTTCAGGTGAGGGAGACTGAGACTCGGCTGTCCGTAGATGCCCGTAGCCGTCGTCGGGCTTGCAAGTGTGGAGTAGCCGTGTTGGGTGGCGGTAGGAAAAGCACCCGTTTGGTACAGAATGGCAGGGTCCACAGGAGGTTGCTCCGGTGTTGTGAGAACTGAATTTCGACTCGATGGCCGACTTGTGCGACCGGCGATCGAACTGGGCTTCTTGATACCGGCTGGGATTGTGAGGGTTTTCAGTCCAGCTTTGGGGGCACCGCTTGAACGCGATCTTTCCTTGTTGTGCGTCTCCAAGTGCTGCTTCATATTGTCGGTGCGTGTGAATTTCTTCTGGCACCCAGGCCATCTACAGCCGACAGCTTTCTCGGCGGTATGGATTTTGGAGTGTCGAGATGCGTGGCCAGAGGTAGTGAAGGTCTTCCCGCAACCGTGCGAATCTCGATATCGGCATGGATATCTCTTGGGGCCTCTCTCGGGAACATTGGGATTTTGGTAAGATTCTTCGTCATAAAGTCGTGGCTCAGTATAGCCATACGATGGCTGTTGGGGATCCGCATATGACTGCCGCGCAGCATATTGACTCGTGGGATAATCCTCAAACTTCTCTCGTTGGTAGTCGAAGTGACTTTGGTCCTTGTAACCAGCGCTGGTGTAGGAGTTCTGTCTTCCAAATTCGGATATCAAGGTGGGAGTAATTGGGGACAGAGGATCATGGAGATTCGAATCGAAAGAGTCGGCGCGAATCAAGCTGGGCGTGTGAGGTGAAGATGTACTACTGCGAGCAGAGGTACTGGAATTAGATCGGGCCATCTGTGGATGATCGTAATGCGAGAATGTGGTTCGAATGGGGAGTTGTTGTTTCTGAGTGGGTTCATCGTTGAGAAGAGAAACCCGTCTTCCTGAGGAATCTCTGGCGTGCATGCTCGGCCGCGTCGCCATCTTGGGAAATTGTCAATCGACTTCAGATAGCGACGACAAATGTTGTTGATGAAAGGGTCCAAAACGAGATGTTTTGGATGCCTCAAAAGAATGGTGAGATTCAGTGTCAAGCTGAGAAAGATCGATCAATGCAGCAGATGAGAAGCAAAGGTGTTTGTTATTGCGACTGTGGTGGTTGAGTTGAGGAGATTGATCAGGCGAGGAAATACTAGGCAAAGGGATGAGATGAGATTTTGTTTTCAATGCTGGATTGAAGAAGAGAGTTTTTAGATGGTAGGAGTTGGGGGGGGGAGGTGCAGAGGGGAAGAAGCCGGGGAGGCGTGATCGTGTGAATTGGAGGTGGAGGTGAAGGGGAGGGCCTCGCGATGTCGTGTGGTAGTGGTAGTGGTAGTGGTAGTGGTCGTGGTCGTAGTCGTGTGGTGGTAGTGTTGGTGGCTCACTCGGGGTGGGAGAATGGCATGCTTTTACAGCATGGCATTTTATGATTTCGGAGGAAGCTGCGACCAACCTTCCTTCCTTTCGCTCCACCGAGCAACCTGTAACTGGTGGGTCAGGCCCGTGACTAGGACTGGGACGAGGACAGGGAACCAGGGCGGAGGAAAAGAAAGAACGAGACGAGGGACATTTAGACTGGGACGACGACACGAGTTAGGGCTCAACGCAAGGGAGCAACACTAGGGAGATGGACCAGATGAGGACTAACGCACCATTCATTCATTATATTTGGACAGCTGTGAACGGGGATGAGGGTGCGTGAAGATGCGACGGGCAATCCTCCCCTGTCCTGCCCTGCTTAACACCACACCACACCAGTATTACACTTTCTTGGTCTCGAAAAGAATTCTTGGTTACTTGGACATCTAGCGTCTGCGCGCTGCAAAGTCGGGTGCCAGCCGTCAACACATGGCGGTTTGAACAAGGGGAAGGAAGCTTTCTGCAGCCAGTCATGAGCTCTGAGGAGCTCTCTCTCCGGAATATGTGACAGATCAGTGAAGCGACGTTTGGGTTGGGGGCGTCGCTGGGGGGGGCTTTGGGAGGCTTGCGATTCTTCCAGATGTGGTGCGACCCTCACTGGACCAGGGATTCGGAGCCACCTCCAAGGGACCTCCAGTGTCGTCACCAGGGAGCAAAAAAGATGCTCAGGGACGTGGGGAGATCCCGCTCGGGTATTGCTGCTGCTTCTGCTGTTCTGGATCAAAAGCTGCACCGTCGTGCTCTTTCCTTTTCCCTGTGGTACATCTGATTCCATGTTCTCCTACCAAAATTCCACTGCCTTTTTGAGGAGAGTATGTATAATAAGTCATGTCACCGCCTCGGTCCTAAAGCAGAAAACAAGAGGACGACGTGGACGTGCTCTGCTCTACTGTGAGGAGGTGAGCATTGCTTGCATGATACTGTAATAGGCTCTATCTTTAAAGCTGGATTAGGATCTGACAACCAGATGCCTGGCTCTCCCTAAGCTTTCCCTGGTGCAAATAGAAATCGACACCGTCCACTCTTATTGATCGAGGACGCAACAAAGAACGAAGAAAGACCCTACGTGCGGACTCCATCTCCGTCGCGAGTAGCACGTCGACCAGGTTTGGTTGGAGAATGAGAAAGGGCATGCCATCACCATCTTACAGTATTCACATCCATGGGCATCAGCTGTTTCCCACCCTCGACGGCGACACAGAAGAGGGGTCTTGCTGTCTGCTGTCAGCATCGCAGGTTGCACATTTGCCCGCTTTGAACCTTATCTCATCCATCACATACCCACCACACACCACACACCACACACTCGCAAAATCAAGGGTGCTGGGAAAGCTTGGAAAGCATCCAGGGCTGCAGCTGCATGTGCATGTGCATGCTCGCCTGCTGACGCCTCATCCTCGAAACGGGCTGGCTGCGTGCTTGCTTTGCCCGTAAATGCAAAAAAAGAGAGTTCAATATGAGTGAAAGGGGTAATATTTGCCATGCCTTTCGGTGTATACTTTTTTTTTTTCGCCATGTTTCTTGGACGGGTCCCTTAGCCTTGGCGATCGAAAGCCGCTGGTGCCATTCTAGCCCGCATCCGCAGGTCTGCATCGTGATCTTGCTGTACGATTGCCATGAAGCCCACGAGCCCCGCATCTGTGCGACTCTCCCGATGCTCCCACAGACAGATTCTCGACATGTTCGGTCGCTCAGACGTGTGATGAAGTTCCTTCTTCAGCGCGGCTTGCTCCTGATCTCAGACATACCCATCTGATGGCCTTTCGCAAAGTGCATATCATATTCAACAAGATGATAGCGACGGAGACAGCTCCGCGGCTCCGATACGACAGATCGCACTTCGTCGCCTCGCCCGCGCACGAGTGCAGCGGACTGGCACTTGATGCAGGGTCTTTCCTTTCTGGTCTAAGCTGGATGCGACAGTGATCGGCGGGGACCCGCTTCACAACGGCTGGCTCCACTTTTCCCTATCTCACTCATCAGGAACGAACCCACACCAGGGTCCAAAGCTGTCCCCCGAAAATCTGGGGTTCTTGTCGCGCCCCGGCTTCACTTGCCTGCCTGCCTGCCTGCAAACGACCACCGCCAGAGGAGAAGCGCATCAGTCGCACCAAAAAATAGATGCAATTTCTTCCCAACTTCACAGCTTTCACTTTTAGACTTTCCCATCCGGCGCGGTCCCAACGTGCCACTTGTCACTTGTCACTTGTCACGATGCTGCCGAAGGGACATGACTCCCGTACCGTTGGGCAAATTCCTTCTTCATGCGCGAAATGGCTCTCCGGCACTCAGCAGTGATGTCATATAAGGGCAAGAGATCGAGTTCTCTGAGGGGATCTCTCATTCGGGGTGCAAGTGGATCCCATACGCGCCGTTTCGACCATAGCCGAGCCAGTAGTGCGCCCCTCCTCCCGGCCGATGGTGTTCTAGACGCTGGACGATGGGCCTTTCCTTTTTTGGTCGGTGCTCTGCTCTGCCTCGACCGCAGTCACAGCAAGTCCCATAGAAATGCCAACATTCCAATCCCGCCAGCAGATCTTTCAACATTATCTGACATGCTGACTCGCATCTGGTGGAACGGAATAATATGCCGGATGCTCTGCATCTATCTACTGTACTTTATCTATCATCAGGATCTCCCCTGCCTCTTTCCAGTGACATGGCAGATGGAAAGGGGGCACAATCATCATTCGGAGGAGCCTCGTATCGTCGAAGACTTCTTTCCATCTTACTATTATCGTGCGGAGATTGAAAGCTATGGGCATGATGCTGAGAACCGCCAAACACCGCAAGAAAGAATCCAGCAGAGCGGAAGAACGACAAACGCGTACCTGAACCATCAAAAAGTAGTCGGTGGAACCCTGCCTCTGCCTCGGCGCGCGGGCGACGGAGCTGCCTCCGATCTCCTCTCTATTCACAGATCAAGATACTGTACTGTTCACCAAATCTACGGCGCAGAACCCCTGAACCAGGACTCGGGATCGGGGTTCCTCGCACCCTAGACGCCACAAATCCCAGAATTGTGCGACAGCCTAGACCCTTAAAACAAGACGTCATCGAAAGTCGCAAAAAGAAGGAACCAAGAAATTGGGAGTCGGCGGTCGAAAGAAAAAGGGTTCACTGCATTTCCCGCCGGATCACACTCGCCAATGCTGGACATCACTGCCGACAAAGCCGAAACCACCTTCTTACATTTTAGCACCCATTACGATCTTCACCTAGATGAGTGGCTAAAGAAGACAAGCGCCTTCTCTCCTCGCGCGATGAAGGGTATCAATGCCATAGAGAGGAACCCTCACCAGTCCAATCCTTAGCTTTGGGGATCACATGCCTAGGGGCAGCCAAAACATCGAATTTTGAAATCCCATAGCGACGATCCCTTTGGCGCTGATCCCCCTCTTATCGTCTCTCATCCTGTCGACTCTATCTTTACCTCCACCTCTCATACTTTCTGTTTCTCAAATGGTTTTAGGAGATACCTCCGTGCGAGATATGATGTAGGCTGTCTGAAAATTTCCGTTCTTATTATTCAAGGATAAGAGGGTTAATTTGTCCTATCACATGGCGAGGTGTCGGAGAACCTCCAGTGAGGCAAAGACTCCAGATGGAAGGGTCTTCAGTTCCCCCTATTATTCTACGTCGGAAACTGCCTTAGCTCGCACCGTTTCCCGCTGATGTTCGTGATCTGGTAGCTCATGCTCCGTCCCGAAGCACTACCATAGTAGTAGGCATCATCGGGCACGGATAACGGTACCTTCCAGGGTCTACTTTCCATCGTCACCCAAAGATCTCTATCTTCCCAATCCAGCAAATCACATACAAAGCCAGTGAGGCAGGCAAGCACCGGACAACACTCCCTGAACCAGAAAGGAAAACAAGACCTCTCCATTGTCGCATCCAAGTTTCGCACAGTGTTAAACCCCACCCAACTAAAAGGTTGACCTCCTATGCAGAACCCCACCTGACTCCTTCACTGGAAACTTTAATTTTTAAGCCTTGCCTGAACCATGAGTTGGGAGTCTATTGTTTCCTAGTCTCCAAGCCTATCATAGCGTTGAGTTTTCAAAGCAGCAAGTTTAAGCAGTTATGTGTGGCCACTTGCAGCATTGGCGTCTTTTTTTTCGCTCAAACTTGCATTTAAGAGTCTCTAGTGACTTGGAAGCCGGAACGTTCGGAGATGTTGGGGTTTGGGGAAGTGGGATGAAAGTATCGATTGTAGGTCAGTGAGACGTGGAATGCTGGACTTTGAGATTGTGCTCTGTTGTCGCATGTTGTTTTTCTGTATTGTTCCTTAACTGTTCGGATCTTCAAAGTAGTCTCAATCTTCATCTATGGACTTACGAATCCACATTCCATGCAGCGTCCTTCTCTTTTTCTTCCTTCCTGTACCAGAATAGAGACCCCAATATCTTGCGGGTGTTCATAATGGGACTGACTTTCTTCTATACAAGAACTACCATCCCATTCTACTGTTATCATCACTCATTGCAAACTTGAAGTGTCCAATTTCAATTCCAGCTCCCAATCTGCAAACAAAACTGTTCACGTGCACAAAAGCCATATCTTCCAGAAACTTAACCATGTGGAGCTTTTCCCAACTTCCTTCCTATTAGAAGTCTGTCTGATTTAGATACATGACGCATGAGAACTCTAATCAACCGTCGGTCAACAAACCGCCCTGTTGTAGGCGGAAAGTTTAGAGCATTCAGAAATTAGAAGTCCAGACATTTGCTCAAGTAGTATTTGCTTCATCCAGATTAGCAGGCACATTAGTCCTTTGTCAATGAGAGGGGCATTTTTCTGATACTGTCAAGCAAGTACCATGATAATGTATCCAGGACACTCAGAAGCATCGGAGGCTCTTGCGTAGCTGAGTGGTAGTAACTATTTCTAGGTTGATCCTCCCCACCCCAGTCTTCAATGGCTTTATTCTAGCTATGGTAAATAGCCACTAATGTCTGGATTCTCGGTTAGTGAAGTGATAGCATAAGGATTCGAGCTTAGTCAAAATATATACACCTCCTCTCATACCTCTAGTCTATTTTGATAGACATGATTCATTCGTTACAACCAACCTGGCTATCTGAGGCGAGTTGACAATTTGAATCGCTACTCCGAATTTAAACACTGGCCTGCCTGCAGACTCCGGAAAGTGCGATAAGGCGATAGAACATATTGGCATTCGGGATATTGATGCAAGTCTTAACCCTTTGTAGTCTACCTGGCTAGCGGATTTGTGATCGAAGTGTTAGCTTAAGATGCTTATTATACAACTGGTAGCTATGATGAAGTTACAACAATATAAACCCGTAGTCTATCATTATTTGTAGTAACTAGTAAATATTATTATTTATTTAACACTTCGGTGCTTAGTATATAATAAATATTTTCACACAATATTTTTTAAGTTTTTAAGTTTTTCATTTGGAATTTGGAATTTCAATAAAATCCGAAAACGGGAATTAAATTAGAAAATCGAACTTAATACTACAATTTTAACAATAATTCTTTTACAAAGAGCAAAGCTTCTGTAATGTGCAAGTCTTGTCGTACTCCTAGCCTTCGACATTGAATCTCAACCATGTGCTCTGCATTCCACCTCCGGCCCACGACAACTATTACTGGATAGCCTACTAGATCTGCATCTCTCATCTTCCAAGGAAAGGAGTGCGACCGATCGTCAATGATGAGATCAAGCACGCTCCCTGCATCGAATATGGGATGGCAAAGCGCGTCATAAACCTCATTTGCAGCCTTTTCTAGATCCTTTCCTGGAACGATGACGACCTCGTATGGTGCCATGGCACGAGGCCAATTCAGCCCTTTGTCGTCAGCAAGGGTCTCCGCGACAGCCCCAATCATGCGTGTTACTCCAATCCCATGACAGCCCATCTGCAAAGGTGTTTGTACATTGTGATTTCCATCACGAGATTCCTCAATGGTTGACTGTTGGGCGTCTAACAAATCGGATGGTACTGTGACAGAGGCACTCAAAGGGTCGCTATACCTTGTCCCTAAATGAAAAGTGTGGCCAAGCTCGATCGCCCGTTCAACTTTCAACTTGCCATCCGGACATCGCGGGCACAAGTCTCCTGCTCTGATACGCAACAGATTGAGGGGCTGCTGCGTGAGCGGGTCATTAACCACGGTCTCTATTTCACTATCCGGAATAAACCCCTCCCAAAAAGCTGGCCGAATTTGTAAGTCGGCACTTCCCGAAACAATGCTTTCTCGAATGGCAGAGGACAAGCGGCAGTCGACTAGGTTGAGTACTCTGCGTGGAGGCGGCACCGGCGTGCTATTCTCGCAACTGGTAGTGGGGCGAAAAGTCTGGAGTGTCCATAGGGATAAACAGTCCTGGAGAGAAGTGTCGAGGTCTGGGACCAATGCCTTCACAGCAATCATGTTGACCTCGGGGGCGCTAGATGACCCAAAAGACGGCGAACACTGCGAGAGCTCTGGTGCGTACCAGACATTGATCAGAGTACTCCTATCTCGAGAAGTACCACGCCATACATGTACGTCGTCCTGGAGGAGTCCTGAGACTCCGTCGGCTTCTGGAATACCGTTCCTGGCAGATATACTCTGGGGATTTGCGGACTCTGCTAGCTCCTCGTTGGCCACATAGTCACAAGAGGTGCAGCTGATGACATGATCTTCACCTTTCGAAGTAGGAAAGTGAAATTCGTGACTCAAGTTCCCTCCCATGTCACCAGAGTCGGCTTCTGCAACGAGGTATGGCAGCTTAATTTCGTCGAACAGACGAGCATAAGCTGCTCTGACTTGATGATACGTTGCAAGAGCAAGAGATGAGGTATAGTCGAACGTGTAAAGGTCCTTCATAACGAATTCTCGTGTCCGAAGTAGACCGTGTCTGGGACGTAATTCATCCCGATATTTGCGTGCTATGGATAGCGAGTTAGAGGAATATCCGGTTCTGTAGGCTCTCCACATACATATCTGATATAGTCGAGCGGGCAGATCCTTGTAGGACGACACTGTACTTGCAACCAGAGAGGTGATCTCCTCCTCATGAGTTGGAGACAGGATGTATCTAGCATCCCTTCTGTCCTGAAACCGGAAAAGCTACAAGCTTGTTAACAGGATCAAGGGAAAAGGAAGTCTAGTGTACCTCGGCACCAACGGAATTCAAGCGCCCACTTCTCGCCCATAGTTCCTCGGATGATATCGAGGACAGAGCCAATTTCGACGCACCTCTTCAAGTCAATATAAGTCACGAAAAAAAGCTAGAGTCATTACCTAGTTGAGACATGTACTTGTCTATCAGTGCTTCTAATTTGTCTTGTACTTTACGACCTAGAGGAAGCATATGAAAGATGCCAGAGTGAGCCTGATAAGTCAGATATCTGTTCGTGCTCTTGGGTGACGTCCAGCAGACCTGACGCAAAAAGCCCGCCCGAATAAGCTTGGAATGGGAGTCTGGCGATTTATTAGTATGGGGGAAAAGCTTCTGGTACTGCGGGCACGCACCCTCATTCAAAGCTACCGCAATACCTCCAGTTGGTACCCACAACTTAGACAAGCGTATTCGATCATCTTCCTGAATGAACAAATAAGCTATAGCACGTGACGAACAATTTTTGGAGGGATGGACTAACTTTATTCTCTTGTGTCGACAAGGTGGAGTTGAACCGAATGCATTGATTAAGTCGACTAAGTGTTATAGGTTGTACTATGCACCGGTTCCGAGCTTGTACAGAATTGATTTGACTGCCTTTGAAAAAAAGGGGTGTCGCGAAAAAACATTTCATTATGAAAATAAAAGCGTTGCAAAGACCGAGTTGACGGAACAAAAGAGAAAGCACAAAAGCCTCAACGTGACAGCCTCAGATTGGCCTTATTGTACACATGTTCAAGAAGTGAGTTGGACTTAGACTGCTGGAGACAGAAATCTGCTGCAGTCGAAACTGACGACGTTGATTTGTACGATTGATATTGGCACGCCTCTTGGGCTTGGCGGTTTGCTGCGGCTGCGCTTGTGGCAGGCTAGTACAGCTCGGCTATGATAAGATAAGACTGCGATAAAAATTCAATTATTTTTCTTCCTCTTCCCTTACAACGGCATAGGAAATCCGCAACTGGGAGAATGGCCAAGAAGAGGAGCAAGAACTCGAAAGCGGCGACGGGAGCAGGGCCTTCCACCGACGGGGATATCCCACTGCTGAACGAGGAGGCATTGTCTGCTTTGACTGCCAGGATCGAATCAGGACTTGGAACGAGCAATGCGCAACAAGAATCTCATCTGGCCACCAATCGTGACCATGAAACCCGGGACAAATTGTCCAAAGAGTCAAAGGCGACTTCAAAAATAATGCCGACCGAAACTCCGAGAGGCACGAAAAGAGACGCCAATGGCAATGCAAAACTTGCTGGTCAGCAGTTGGGCAATAGTCGCAATTCTACACATCAGAGCGAACAAACTGGAGACGCTCGGAACGCTATGTTGGAGGAAATCATAGCTCTTGGAGGTACCGAGGAAGATCTAGATCTCATTTTGGATGTCGCGTCCGACGAAGAAGCCGATTCCAGTGCTGGTATCACTCTTGATAAGTCATTTCGGAAAGAGCTTGCAAGTTTTGTCTCGCAGCTTGGAATTGAGCCAACCACGAACAGTACGGAGGCTGATGCTGCAAGTGAAGACTCAGAGGACGATTGGGAAGCGGCCTCTGCTTCAGATGCCTCAGAAGGATCCAGTACACGAATGGTCGAAGCTGTCAAAGAGCAGCAACCAAGCACAACAACAAGGAGGGTTGCAGCTGCATCAGGAAATGTTAACCATCTCGTCAGTATAGGCTCAAGAGAAGGGCTTTCTCAAGCTGACCTGGCATAGATCTTTGAAGCACGTCCTGATTGGCATGCTACTCCGCTTCCTACTCTACCTACTTCGCAAGTCCAAGATACCTCAGAGTACCGCCACGCTGTTGCAAGCCTGAAGGACTATGCTAAATCTTTACTTGAGGCTGATAGTAATCTATACGCTTCTAAACATCTCTCATCATCATCGTCACATCGCTTTCTTTCTACCATCATGGCTTCCGGTACACTCTCAGACAAAGTCTCGGCATTGACACTTGTGGTCCAGGAATCTCCGGTACACACCACCAAGTCTTTTGAAAGTCTACTCACGCTAGCCAAGAAGAGAAGTCGGGGCCAAGCAGTAACTGCTTTAGGTGCACTGAAGGATCTCCTAGGAGCAGGAGTGGTCTTGCCAGCTGATAGACGTCTACGTACCTTTGCAACACAGCCTGGACTCCTTTCCACGTTGCAGCAAGAGTCCCTCCTGAGCTGGAGACCCGGCCAAAGCCTGCCTGGCGATCTCTCTAAGGCGCATTTGATATACTGGGCGTATGAAGACTGGCTGAAGGAATCTTATTTTGATATGCTGAAAGTTTTGGAGGGATGGTGCAACGACGAAGTTGAATATGCTCGGTCGAGAGCTGTCAGCTATGTTTACGAGCTTCTGAAAGAGAAACCCGAACAAGAAGCTAACCTCCTTCGGCTTTTGGTCAACAAATTGGGCGATCCGGACAAGAAAATCGCATCTAGAGCGTCGTATCTGTTACTCCAATTGCAGGTCTCTCATCCACTCATGAAGTCAATAATTATTCGATCGGTGGAGACGGAATTACTCCTTCGGCCGGGCCAAAGCTCACATGCGATTTATTATGCCATCAACACACTCAATCAAACAATACTGAGCGCTAAAGAAGAAGACGTGGCAATGAAGCTTCTGGATATTTATTTTGCCCAATTTGTTTCGCTGCTGAAGAAACCAGAGCAGTCAAAAGTCGTAGATGCACCTGTAACTAATCGCAAGGGACAGATCCAGGGAGGAGGGGCACCGATGGGCAAGAAAGCAAAAGCTCGTGTGGCTAAAGAGGAAGAGGCCAAATTGATTAGCGAGGAGACGACCGAGAAACTGATATCTGCGGTCCTGACAGGCGTCAATCGAGCATTTCCGTTTTCACAAACCGATGACCTCACGTAAGTCCTCATGTGAAATTTAGGTAATTTACTAACACATCTGGTAAGCCTCGAAAAGCACATGGATACTTTGTTCAAGATCACCCACTCTTCAAACTTCAACACTAGCATCCAGGCGTTGATGCTGATAGAACAACTAGCTACAACCAAACACCTGGCCGTTGACAGATTTTACAGAACTCTCTACGAATCGTTGCTCGATCCACGTCTTGTCACGTCTTCCAAACATGCTTTGTATCTTAATTTACTGTTCCGGGCGCTGAAGGCCGATTTGAACGTAAAACGTGTAAAAGCGTTCGCCAAAAGAATGCTGCAAGTTGTCACATTACACCAAGCGCCGTTCATCTGCGGAGTTCTGTACCTTTTAAGAGAGCTAGAGACGATTTTTCCTGCCCTCAAATCACTTCTTACCGAATCTGAAGAAGGTGATGATGACGAGGAAGAGATATTTCGTGATGTGCCCGAAGATGGCGAAATATCAAAGGCCCAATCCACAAATCTTGATCCACTATTTCATCGTGCACCATACGATGGGCGGAAGCGAGATCCTGAACATAGCAATGCAGACAAGAGTTGTCTTTGGGAATCAGTAAGTCCTTCCTCATTCTCTGGTAGTAGCGGCCTCTAATATGATCAGATTCCTTTTCTAGTTCATTTTCATCCATCTGTATCATTATTCGCCTCACGACTTCTGAACAACGAGAAATTACCACCCAAACCCGACTTGGCCTCTCATACTCTCTCAAGCTTCCTCGACAGATTCGTCTATAGAAACGCGAAAACAGCCGCCAGTGGACCAAAAGGGGGATCTATCATGCAACCACTCTCTGGTGGTGACAGCCGAGGAATACTTCTGTCGAGCAGAAATGGTATTCGCTCCTTGGATCCTCTGAACACGGAGAATTTCTGGCACAAGAAGGCAGAAGATGTTGCCGTTGACGAGGTATTCTTTCACAGATATTTTAGCAAAATCGGCAAGTCCAAAGAGGCTTCTGGGAAGAAGATATCTGATTCAAGAATGGCGGAGGATGAAAATGGAGAAGAGGACCAAGACGAGGACGAGATCTGGCAAGCGCTTGTGGATTCACGACCAGAGGTGGAGGGCCCCAGCGATGATGATTCTGACATGGAGATGCTAGACCTAGAGGACTCAGATGTGTCTGTCAATGAGTCCGAGGTTGAGAGTGAAGGAGAGGTAGCCTCGTTCGAGGACACAGAAGACGAAGAAGGCGATTCGGATGGTCTCTACGAAACGATGACTAATGGAAGCGGTGCTGAACTTGAAGTCGATGATCTCTTCGCGAGAGAATTACAGACTGCGGCAGGAGAGCCAGAAGAGGAAACGGGCAAGCAAAGTGGCAGGGAAAAGCGGAGGAAGCTTAAGAGTCTACCAACCTTTGCATCTGCAGAAGACTATGCAGAGATGCTTGACAATGATGAGGATGAAGATTTTGGAGGGTCGAGTTAGACTGTGGGTCATGAAATTCCAAAGCACATGCTCAATTCATTGCTACTGTAGAGCAAACCAAACCATTGAAAAATTCAACATTAAGGATCTGCTGATCAAGAGTGAGAAGACTCCCCACACCATTCCGCGGTGGTTGCCTCATACATCAAACCACTCAAGTGGGTCCTTCTGGTGAAAAATTGCCTTGAAGAGTTTGTTGCCATTAGCTTCCTCGATTTCTTCCATGTGGATGCAATGGAGTTTGGCCATCTCAGCATCGCCACCAATGAAAGCTCTAAACATGAAGTAGCAGCTCGATCCTCTATTGATCGCAAGATTAGTTCTGTCGATATTTAGAGTGGTAACTGCTTACTTCTCGGGGTAAGAATGGTTTGGATCCGAGTCCGGGAGCAGGACCTTTCCAAACAGATGCATTCCGTAGGCAGAAGTAGCAATACGAACTTCTTTCAGGTCATCGGCTAGCTTGAGTTAGTTCATTGTCCATGAATCATGAGTCCGGTACGAACAGGAGAAGTTTGTGAGTTGGTGGTCTGACAAATTGCGAACCAAGGTGAAATATTCAGGCTCGTGCTCTGGTCAAGAGAATCAGCTTTTTGCTCGGCACCGTCCACAAAAATACGTACTATTTGTTTCATGACGAAGATGTTGTAGCGTCTTCTTGAGCTCGACCTCGATTTCGTTGAAGACCTTTATTGATTCTTCCCTGCAGAAGGCCAAGTCAATACTGAGCGGTATCACGGAGGCATGGGCCTTACTTGGGAGGATGCACAGGCCCAAGTTGAACTGTCTCAGCGGTGGCCATGTTGGGTGAAATCCTAGTGAATGACCAAATCTTTTTGTGTTAGGTATTCTAGAGGTGGGGGTCTGAATAAATGGTGACTATCAGAGAGAGAGGGTCAGATGAATGGACATATTGGGAGGCACTTCACTTTATGTATGACATGGTAAGGCTGACCAGCAGGGTGCCAAGGAGAGCGGAGAGACATTCATTCATGCGTTTGACCATGGGGGCCTCACAATTGGCGGGTAAGTGCAGCAGCATGATGGGGTAGCAGGGGGAACTGCCTGATTTAGGATAGATTCACAAGACAAGACCACTCACTCGATGAGATGCTTCTCAATGTGCATCTTCTCTGTCTGGTGAGCTTTGACAGGACGAACTCGGGTAGGTAGGTAAATGTGCACACAACGGTCAGGCCACTCGTCACAGGACAGGGCATCCGTCCACCCAACAGCGACCTTTCACATTCTTCGGCCAATGCAGGTTTCTACCTCGTTGAAAAGGCAAACAAGAGACATCTGATTTGGTGGGCTGTTGTTGCTTGCTGCAGCGTTCTGGCATGGGCGTGCGAGAAAAGGAGAAGCGCGACGAGATGTGACCCCTGACTAGAGCATGATGACGTTGTCGCGGCCATCATGTTTTGATGTCTGTGGGATGTTGCATAATTGATTGCACAACCCACGTCTATGTTTCATGATTAGATTAAAGCAGGTGAGTATAGTGAGTGAGCCAGGTCTACAAAACCCCAAAGACGTCGTTGCTACAATCATATCCTTCAGGGTACTTACTGTATTTGATCTTACAGCAAAGCCAATCCGTTCTGAGATTCCAGGACACTCAAGGTGTTGTACTTTTGCACTTTTGCAAGGTGCTCAGTTGGACCTACTGTAAATACACATGTGGGAGCTTGAATTGAGGCAGTAGAGAGATTTGGCCCGTTTTCTCCACCAGCCTCGACAATATTCAGACAAGAGCAGGACCTTTCTCGACACCAATATGAGGGACCCAGCAATATCGAACGGTCCATCTCAAAGACGGCACCGAATAACCTTGCGAGACTAAATCCCCAGATCAGGAGTCTGTGCTCTTTGAACTTATATCATTTTTCGTAGCAAAAGAGACACCTCTCACTGCAGGTACCGAAGTGCACACGCCGCTTTCGGCATGGTTCGGTTGCTATCCGCCGATAAGGAGAGCTTATCCGAGGCTCGACTCGACTCGACAACAGAGGGCAAAAGTTTTCTCTGCCAACCCTTCTAATGTCATTTGCCCCGGTATTACGGCCTCGCGCCGCGTTCGGCGTTTGTAGGTCCAGCGATATGTTGGCAACTTTCAGGAAGGGAATCCCACGCGCTAGGAGTTTCGACCTCAAGTTTAGCACCGCCCGACGGCTTCAAACAACTATAGGTACTGCTGGCTCAACTCGGAGATTGCTCAGTATAGCTGACGTTCACGATAGCCTCTATTAGTTCCCCTCCCCCAAAAAATTCCTTCTTCGGGCGTGCATTTCGTTTCCTAACGATTGCTGCCTTTTTTAGCACCGCCGGCTTCATTATGTCTGTGGTCCCAGTTGTCAACGTCGCCAATGGCTACCTCAACCCCCCTTCCGATGCGGAAACCCTTACGATGTTTACGCCCGAAGACGATCTTTCACGCGAGGTTGAGGAGTTCATAAAGAGCCATCCAGTTGCTGTTGAGTTGAGGTCACAACCACAGTTTTCGGAATCTCGTCCACATCTGAAGATACCGGAGGGACAACGAAGCCATAATTTGACAGCAGGAACCCTGATGGGCCCGGGTAGGGTTGTGGTTCCCCCATTCGTGTGGAGTGAACGGGGTGGGAAGTCTCTGGTTTCTATATCGTACCTGGGAGAGGACCTTTGCGGTCATCCGGGCCTGGTCCACGGTGGTCTTCTCGCTACACTTTTGGACGAAGGACTTGCGAGATGTTGCTTTGCGGCACTTCCCAACAAAGTGGGCATGACGGCCAACCTCAATATCAACTATCGCAACCCAACACCAGCCGGTGGTTTCGTTGTCTTGCGTGCAAAGACTACCAAAGTTGACGGCCGCAAGGCATGGGTCGAAGGTCACATCGAAACCCTGGTAGCTGAAGGGGAGAAGCCAGTTGTGCTGGCTGATGCAACGGCCTTATTTATTGAGCCCAGACAAGCTGCAGTAAGTACTTCACTCCTGCATCAGCTGTATCAGCACTGATTGTATTAGACCATGGCGAGGGTATATCCAGTCCAGTAGTTAGGAATACTGAGTTACAAAGCATTGCAAAATAGAGTATGGCTTTGGAACTTGGGGCTTTGAGGACCGTCTACGGACATTGGCGCTTAGACGGAGTTTAATTCAAGACATTGATTTCGGTATAGAATTACCTGGACGCTTTGACTCTCCGCAAGTCCGCCCAGGTCTGTCATGCATTTAGAATAGCAAATAATTAGACGTAAAAAACTTGTGAACGGCCGACCTCTCAACATTTTCAAACTATATACAAGTCATACACGACACAAAAACCTGCAAAGAACCCATCACACGTGATAAACATCTTGGCTGAGCTTCTTGCCGGGATCATTACATACCCCTGGTCACACTAGCATGAAATTATGCCATCCCACCTGCAGACGCGGCTTTCCATTTTTCTTTGATCCAGACAAGTTCCCTCCTCTGAAATCAATTCTGGCGGATTTAGATTCAAAATCGTGAACTGAAGCTCGACCATCCCCCGCCAAAAGTCACATACCGATCTATTTACACTGTCATCTGTGAAAAGATTATAACAGGCGAAAATGGCAACGTAAGTACCCCGCCAAACCCCGCCAAATGATAACTAATAATTAATACAGCAATATCACTTGGCACCCTTCACTCTCAAGGCACGAGCGAAATGAGCTGCGGAAGCAACGTGGATTCACAATCTGGCTGACCGGTCTTTCTGCTTCGGGAAAATCTACGATTGCAACAGCTCTTGAGCAGCACCTTTTGCACCTGGGCGTCGCAGCTTACCGTTTGGATGGAGACAATGTACGCTTTGGGCTGAACAAGGACCTTGGGTTTTCGGAGAAGGATCGCAATGAGAACATTAGGAGAATTGCAGAGGTTCGTTGTGCTCCCATCTTGGGCGTATCGTAAATTGATGATCGAATCTTCAGGTTGCCAAGCTGTTTGCCGACTCCTCCACAATTGCCCTCACATCCTTCATCTCACCATATAAAGCTGACCGCCAGATCGCAAGAGACCTCCACGCAGCCTCAAACCAGGGCGGAGACGATCCGATCCCGTTCATCGAAGTGTTCATCGATATTCCAGTTGAGGTTGCTGAACAGCGAGATCCAAAGGGTTTGTATAAAAAGGCTCGAGCAGGAGAAATCCCCAATTTCACGGGAATTTCTGCGCCATACGAGGCACCAGAAGCAGCCGAGGTTCATCTGAGGACCGATCAATTATCTGTGGAGGAGTCGGTTGCCAAGGTCATGGAATACCTGCATTCTAAGAATTTGCTTCCAAAATAGAAATAGAATAAGGATGAATACTTCTGCTTTGGTCAATGGATTTCTCATGCCATTCTAGTCCAATGCCTCGTGAATCTCGATACAATATTACAATACTGCAATCCAAGCGCCAACTGGGGAATCCCGCATCCTGTGCTATCTATATGATCTCGAAGTCGTAATAAACGTAGGCCGTGTACTCACTTCCCTCGCCATGACCACCTACTCCAGCCGCAGCCATCTCTGAAGATAGCGCCGAATCATCTTTCGCTACTCTTCCTTTCTTGTCCCTTCCGAATGCGTTCCCTCCAAGGTATGAATACGTCGAGTCGAGTGACGCTTTCGCCTTCTTGGCTAACTTAGGAGAAGTCTGGACAATTAGTACCGTCATGGGCTACGATTTGTACATCCACATACCTTGATCAAGCCGCAAACAAAGTCCAAAGGAAGACCGTACCGTAGCACAGTCTCCACAAATACTCGGAGAGTCAATACGTGTATCCAGATCATAACGCTCTCGCTCCAACCTGTCCGTCCAAGCCTCAACGCTTCACCCCAAATCTTCCTTTCATCCTTGCTAACTCGCTCGATCTCCCTTCGTTCTTCCTCCTTGCCACCCTCGATGTACCTGTAATCCCGAGGTGTCCACTTCATTTCCCTGCACTTGTGCTGGAACTCTGCACTGTGCTTCTTGAAAGTAGTAGCAGCGAACAACGTGAATTCATCGTCATGCGTCACCTCAATGGACGATCGTGGGACAACCATAGGTGAAATAGTCTCATAGCTTCGAATGAAATCCTTCTTCGCATTGTTGGGAACCACAACCAAGTGAGTTTCGAGATATTCGGAATCTTGGATCAGCAGTTTAGGATCGACGACAGGTGTGAGAGATTTGGTGGAGAGGTTGCCACTGTCAAGAATTTAGCAAAGGAATCTAGTTATCTCCTTTATGGAAAGGGAGGCACACGTCTGTTTCCGTTGCAAGGTTGTGAGATTCGTCTTGACTTGGTTGTATTGACTCAGCTTGCTTTTGACATCGTTGTCGATGCTTACAAGCTCCTTGAAGATATCAGTTATTGCTTATGTCCTGTGAGTGACATTTACCTTTTGTAATGAATCGATAAGTTCTGCGAGTGGCTTGTCGGCACGGTACTTGATCTTATTCCATACAAAGGTTTTCAGGTATTGGTCTGCAGGCTCTGTTGAGACACGTCAATTAGAGCTCTATGATGAGCAGCTTGTCATGAAACTATTTATGACGACGTACTATCGTTGACAGTCTTTTGCTGAGCAATTTTGTCCTCATCGCCCTCCAGCAAATTCCGTAAGGAGTCTCCGACCTTTGCAACAACAGCTTCACAGGAGCTCTCCAGCTTTGCAAGGTCGTCTGCTTGTTGGACCAATGCATCCAAAGTACCGATTTTGAACTCCGGAATCTTGAAGGGCTGCACGGCTCCATTCTCTGGGCCTACCGTCGAACGCAGAGCACTGAGCGCTTCCTCTTTGTCGTTGGAAGGAGATATGCTCGAGGGCATGCTGATCAAAATGTACTTGGACATCGTTGTTGCTGTGTCGTGGGTAGTGGAGGGGTTTCGTGCAAGTCCCGAGTAAGCTGTAGGGATGATTCGGGTTGCGTGCGAGTTCTGGGCCTCGAGCTTGAGCTGCTCGGTGTCGAGGACGACAAATGGATGCAAGTCAGGGAAGCTTCGATTGAGCTCCCACACTCTTATCGTGCACGTGCTTCTACAGCTCTTACCGAGTGAGACATTCAGCTTGAGACATTCCACCCGACCCGACCTCACTTCACTCACCTCATCACCTTACTTTGAGGAATTCGCCCTAGGTATGTATCTAACATCCATCACCTCGGTATGGACACCGTCTAATTTGTTGATTCATCACAAGGGTTCGGAGATATTCGCGGGTACAAGGAGTTGAACTCGATGTCCTCCAGATGTAGGACAAACTTGCCATCCCCTGCTATTGAACATGATCCGGCCAGTACTCGTTACCATCATCAGACTGCTACATGTACACATTTGTTTTGGATCTAAGTCCCAAACGTGCGATCTGCCGTAGAGACCATCGGTGAAGTACATATCACTGCATTGTCACCTAGTATCCTAGTTCTTATCTATTGCTTGTTTTGCATGGAAGTATCCTTTTACGGATGGTCTTTCTGCTTCTTCGGCTCCTAGAATGTTATTCACGCCCACATGTATCGTGCACAAGGAGAGAAAATGTAGAATCCTTCTGAATGTCCTTCCTCTTGTTGGTACTCCGCCTCTCTATTGCATATACCATTCATTTCTCAAGGGAAGAAGACAGAGATATCCCTGCCTCTTCACATTGGGTGTCACTCTTTGATTTCGAGAGTTTCGAGACCGAAAGTCTTGCTAGAAATCAAAAATGCTGTATGTCCTGCTCAACTTAGGTCATTTGCAAGCAGATAAGCGTAGCCGGCCTGTCGAGTCCCCATGGATCTCTGGCTCTATTTCTTCGTAGTTTGCAAAAAGAATAAGTTGACTCTTTAGTTTAATCTCATAAAATAAAAGTTCATCAGGACGGCTATGGGGTCCAAAATAAGGAGTCGATATGAATACCTTCACCTTCACCTTCACTTTCACCATTACTTTCGCCTTCACGTTCGCCTTCGCCCCAATCTTCATATTCACTTTTACTGTCGCATCATGTTTTCGCAACTCAACCCGAAGAGCACCACCTTGTTCCACTCAATTCTCCTCCTACCACAACTATTTCTCAATTGCCTCCTCACACTGCTGCATAACTCCTTTCAAATGGCTCTTGTGCGCGCCCTCTAAAACATTGACTCCACATCATGGCTCGAAAAAGAGCGTCTCGCAGCGAGCAGCTTCCTTGCCCGTTATTCAACACCTTCAGGAGCATTGCCTCGCCAATCATACGATTTTGCACGGTATCAACAGACACACTTGGTGCGTTATTCCTGTCAATTGTCTTCTACCGAAAGAATACCGGCTGACCTTCACCAGACATACTCGTAGAGCTTTGTGCCGGCCCTGCTGCCACTTCCCGAATCGAGCTTGCACGCAGCACCAAATTGATAAAGAGGCTTTCCCAGACACTGGATCCCGAGTATACCGGAGACGACACCTGGGCAGACGCGGTGGGTGGTCGTTATTCAGGGTAAGCAACACAGAGCGCTACTTCCAACTTCCCCTTCCCAAACTTCCTGAAGCTCACCTCGCACCACATTCTGACAAGTTTGGCAGCGTCAGAGAAGCCACACCTAGTTTGGTGACTCCTTGGAAGGACAGACATCTTGGCGTAGTCTATCGTTACCGACTCGACGAGGCCCCTGAAACTCCAAGCCAAAGTTCTGCCTTTGGCTCTGGATCACTCCATGGCTTGCTTTTCGTAAATCCGTCCGCGTCGTATACATCGAGTCCTCCGAACCAGGAGTCGGGCCGAACTTCTCACCGGAGCCAAGTCAGCTTCGATAGTATCATTGAAGAGCACTCAGCTGGTCGAACCAACTTAGCCCATTGCTATCAGATCTTCAAACCAGAGGCTTATCGTGGACGCCCTCCTTGCCCGGACGTATTTCCGTCAAGCCAAACACACAGTTATATCGCAGCTATGGTTGCTCACGAACGTGGAGAATCGGCGGAAGAGACAGAAGACGGTACCGGTGAAGATTGGGTTGACGATGCGGATGTTGTGCAAATGAAACCTAAAGTTACGAAGGTCATTGTACGTCCAGTCAAAGGAGCACGAGCAGGAAAGAGACCTGTCAAGCTCGCTGGTGGTGGCTTGAAGGAGAAGGGAACCACCACTCTCGGAAAGGGACGGACTGAGGCAAGAGGCATTGAGGAGACGAAAGAGACTAAAGAGGCGAAAGAGACGAAGCAAATCAAGAAAGTCGAGCGTGATACAGAGGATGAGGTTGCAAGTGAGTAAATTCAAAGACTTGTCTCTGCGCTTCATAAACTAATTGCAATAGTTGAATCTTGTGACAGCCAGGTGTGGGACCCGAAGTGGGTGATCCAACGCAAGAGATACGTACAATAAGTAGCTAGATTGTTGTGGTCATTCATCTCGCGAATGCAAAAGGACACCCTGCCGGTCTTTCGGCTTTTATTTTTTCTTCCCATGCCTTTGTCTCTTCCGAACCCTTGTTCTTCATGGGTCTGGGGCCAACTTCTTCGAATGTGTATCCTTCTGGAATATACTGGTTGCCATTGGATCCTGGAACGTCACCGCCCATATACCAAACAAACCAAGCTTCGGGACCCCACCTATTCAAGAGACCTGGCTTGTCTACAGTATATGTCAGTAGAGGAAAAGTTGCACCATTCGCACCATCGACTCACTGTAATACGGGTGCGCCAGATATTTACCCAGATGATACCGTCCGGTCTTGTCTGGCTTATCAGCCAACTCTCGCGCTCGCATGAAAGTAGGTCTTGGCAAGGAGAGATAACGTAAACAATATCGACGACTCTCGAACATGACGTGAGCCAAGTTGAAGTAAGCTCTTGGAGGAGTTGGGAAACTTGAGTTCGTCCGTCAGAAACATCTTTATGTATAGACAAGGCATACCTACCTCATTGCAGCCCTTAGCCTATCTCCCCTGTAGAGTAAGATCTCAGAGTTAGTAAACACCTTTCACACATCTGCGGATTAGGCAGGGATATCGTAAAATTGCACTGGGCTCAATCTAGAGGACAGCTGTAGAGATGGGTAGGAAGAAGGGTCTCGAGAACTTGAAACTCACATAAGAACGCCAACGATATGTGACGCTGCCGGTTTGAAACGCCTTGGTACATAACTTTCAAGAAGTAAGCAGAGTCTCGAATCGTTCATGAACCTGGTACGATATCGAAAAGACAGGAGGTAATTAAGGTCTCTGCCTAGCAGTCGAAACGCTTGCTGGAGGGCGGAAGGCACAAACACTTACAATAGGAGTAGAGGGACTAGTTCATCGGCGGTAGTTTTGTTAGAAGGTGCGGGCACCATGTATCGAACCTCATACGATTCTGCCCAGTTCTGGATGTCCTCAACAAACTCTAGACCATCAACCCACTCAGAGCGTGCAAGCTGGCCCTTATACTGAATACCCATAGCATCGCCGATGCTTTTCCAGAACGTTCCGACAGCGCAAATTTCCATTTCCGTAAATGGACGCCATTCATACTTCTCCACCCATGTAATCGGTTCCGTTACGAACACACTCAAAGTATACAAGAGATCTTCGTTACTTATCTTGCCCGACTTCTGATACATACTGTGAATATAATTCATCCTCGCAATGGCCTTGATTACACGTTCGGATTTGGGATGATGGCTTGTGAACTCCGAGATCAAGACAGTCGTATCAGCATACCTCTTGCTGGCGTTCTCAGGGGTACTAAACTCCTTCGTAGCTACGAGTAACCCAGAAATCGTGGGAATACCATAAGTCTGTTGTCCGAATCAGTAGCATCACACAGAAACGAAGAGCTGTAAACTTTCCTTGAACAGAGCAAATTGAAGGGAAGTCTCCATGATCTTGGGGAACTCAAGCTCCGCCAGATAATTAAGAATTGCCTGGGCATCGGTGTTTGTCATCCAAGATAATGACTTGCGGTCTGGAAAGTTGAATTTCTTATGCATTGCATCTCGACGCTACAGCGAGTTAGGTCAATCATCTCTTGGCAATAAGACAAAAAGAAGACAGAAACGTCTTCGGATACGCAATACAAGGCGACAACTAACGAGGACTGAGAACAAAGAACTTCGCTGCTTACTTGATATCGGAGAAGGGAGCAAAGCACCACGTATCCCAGGATTGCTGACATAGTATAGGGAGCCCATCCAGACGTCCACTGGGATGTAGATGCCCCCGTGGAAACTATCGTGCTATGATGCACCATTTTGCGGGCAGCTCTGATGTTTTAATTTGTGTACGGGAAGCCTGTAGAGATGTTGGCACAGACCGGAATAATGTACCGCTGTTTCTCGCACTTCGCAACGGCGACTCACAGCACAGAAATGGATCCGCGAACGAATTGATTAGTGAATGAGGATCAGAGCTAAAAGATCGCTCTGCTATCAACTGTGCTGTATTTCGTTGTTTGTAACGTTTGTGTGTCTGACAGGTAGAATGCGCATGTAAGACAGAAGAGGGGCAGCAGCCGAGCCAACCTGGTCACATGTGGATGCGAAGCTGCACAACAATAATACTTCTGAAGATCTAAGATCGAACCTAATAATCTAGAGCCGAGGATTGAACATCCATTATTACATTTGGTACCAAAGTCAACAACGGGCGAAGAACCTGCGAACTGACACGAACAAGCAACTCGCATCTGGACATCCGAGGTTGAGGCAAGAGCAGCCCCGAGCTGAAGTTTTGGGCGGATGCTTGCCCATGAGACGAGCACTAAACATATATCAGCTCGACAACTCGCATGGCTTTCCTTGTTTATTCTTTCTCTCCTTTCTTGTCCTGAAATCAAGTCGCACAGGGCTGATCTTTTCGGACAGGCCAAGTTCTATATTCTGCATTCAAATAATCTTATGAGTGCAATCTTCTGAGAAATGCACCGAGAGTTAATTTCCAACTCAACCTGTCTCCATATATCCATTTGCTCCACTAAGAAACGACACGATAGAAGATCCATTGCACGTTCCTATTTCTTCGTGTTGGTATCATGTAAAGTCCATGCAATTCTTGACCCCACAACGATATTGGACCCCATCAAAAACACCGCATACCTCGTGAAAACCACCAGAGAGACCAGTCGTTACTCATTATGTTTGAGCCATGGTACTGTGTCTTTCGTTGAGAACGAGAAGGGACTCTTTGTCATTTCGGGGCTTCGTGGACTTAATTTCACTGCGAATAGCTCATCTTCTGTTTCCAATTCGTCTCGAGCTGGAAGCTGACCACTAGTCATGGCATCTAGAGATGCAATGCGATTGCTGTGAGCCGGCCCGGGTTGCCTGGCTAGAAGGTGAAGTGGTGGATTCTGGGCAACGGGTCGAGATGGTCGAGAGCTGCCATGGAACATTGAGAAGGATGAAACCGCAACATCGCCAAGGTCCGGAGACAATGGATTATTTGAACGATTGCCAAATCCAGATGTTGTTTGCTCTATTATAATCTGAGCTTAGCCATAGTGACGATAGGTCTGAACATACCTGACGGTGCAGTGAGCTCTAATGCGCTGGTCCCTAATTTCAAGCCTTTCAACTTTTCCGATAACCTGCCACCACCTGGAGATTTTGGGCTTGTTGGTGATGTTGCATGTTGCAAGTCGGACACACTTCTTTGACCAACCCCGAAGTTCTCCTCTATCCACTCCTTTTCCTGCATGGCCATTTCCAAGCCGACTCCTTCTCCATTCTTCATCTCCAACTCGATCTCCCTCTGGAGAACAGAGAGTCGCTTTTTGGCCCACACCGTATGGAGGACTCCTTTTCGGCCCTGCGTGGTCGCACTTATGCCTAGCTCTGGTGGGAAGAGAGCTGGTAATGGGTTTGTTTGCATAGACTTGCCTCCTGTTTGCGACAACTTCACTATGCGCGGTACGGGTGCCGAAGGTGCCAGCAGAAAGTATATCCGATGTAGCTTGCCTTCAGCTCCATCTTTTGCGGAGAGGACCGTTGTTTTCCCTTCCCAGGACACTTCCCAGTCCCCCATATTGGCTGGCCCATCTGCGTCGTCATCAGACCATTCTACCATGAGAATCTTAGTCCCCTCATTGCCTCTGCCGGACTCGAATTCAAAGCGAGCAAGAGCGCTGGATGATGATAGAGCGGGAGCTTGATCGCGTGTGGTGGCATCTGTCAGGGTGACAGTGTCTGGTTCGAAATCGAGTCTTCGAGGAGATGGCTCTGCCATGGTCCGTCGGTATGCAGCGTTTTAGCTTTCAGGGCGTCGTCGGTCCCATGCAGAGAGCCAGAATATGAGCGTAGTGGGATGGGCGCAATCCAGCCTTTCAGGCTAGATTAGAGGAAATCGTTCGGTGATTCGGGTTAATGAAGGAACAGGGAGGTAGAGGACTGGTGGTAGAGGAGGCTGCCTGTAGAGCTAAGCCACGAGTAGATAACGTGATGATTGATATATCTATCACCTCTCTCTCTCTCTGTAGGACGAAGAAAGGGTTGTCTCTTTGTGGTCTGGCATTGGATCACGATACTGCTACGCAGCAGACCCGCTGCAGACAAAGGCCTGAAAATGCCCAATAGAAGCACGACCCGGAAGATGGGCGAGAGTTCAGGGTAGAGGCTGACGATGCTTAAAATAGAAAAGGGGTACGCAGCGTCGGCAAGGGTGGAAACCCCGTCGGCATTCGACCGATGATAAAACTATAAAATCCAGTTCTGCAGCCAGAAATGCAGTCTCAAGTCGTCCAAAAGACAATGCACGTTCGTTAAGAATACGATCCACTTTGCCTACTGTTTGAAACATTCATCGGACCGTGATACTAACAAGAAATATTACAGCGCCCCCATCTGGAGGATGCAAACCTTTTGCTTATACTGAGAGAGCAGTCCCGTAAGGCTTTCTATCCTCTTACTGGTTGGCCGCTGTGTTGGCTATCAAGTGCATCGAGTATCACATTTTGATGGCCTGACGCGCAATGTGGCAAGATGTGGCTTTGGTGTGTATTGAACATTTTCTCATTTGAACTCTTATTGCCCCATCGGACATAATGCTGATGGAGAGTCATGTCAGCTTCAATCATCGCTGCTCCCAAGGAGACCATGTGGTTACTAAGCGTGCGTGGGACGTCCTCTGGGCAAGTAAGATGCAAGCTCAGAAGTGAAGTGTCGGTGAAGCGGGATACGACCTTGTTGAACTCTTGAAAAGTCAATGCAATAGGTGTTGTTGATGACTTGATTTCGTCATTCATTCAATCAATCCGTTGCTACATATTGTCTTAACTCCTTGTCTGAGGTTCTGTTGGCTAGCTTGCAGAACTGCTATATACGACGACAAAGTTGACCCGAGCTCCTGGCTGGTTCCAGATCAGAGTTTAATTTGTGAGAAGCCCTCATGAGCCAGCCCATACTCCGTGATCATCTTCTCTGCTGCAGTCTCCCCCACAAGATAAGCAGTCGACTGTGTATGGTTACTTCAAACTAGTCAGCTGTTGATCTTCTTTAACGGCGTTACACCTCACTTTGGTAACAATGGAAGAACACTTAGATCGACAATTCGCAGATTCTGGGCTCCTCGCAATCGGAAGTCTGGATCGACACAAGCACCTTTGTCGTCTCTCCGGCCCATTCGGACAGTGCTACACATGTGCCACGAGGAGAAAAGATCTCCAGCACAGTGATCCTATTGCTTGTCAGCCACGCAAATTCGATCTGATTTATGTCCACGAACCCAAATATCATCATCCGAACGACTCTTTGGACAGCCGATCATCTTAATCGTGGATTTGTTGAAGGCGGGAGCCTCTAAATAATCCAGTGTTTGGCGCATAGCCTCTATCATCACTCTGGAATTTACATCTCCGAGTCAGTATCGTTTTCGGAACAACAAGGGAGGATTTCGACAATCATTTGCCTGCACTGAAGTCATGTAGTGCGTGGGAGTCTTGAGATATCTTAAAGAGGGAATTTGAGCTCTGAAGAACTGAAGAAGTCACGTACCGTCTGTCGAATGGATGCGACAGCAGATTTGGATCGACCTTTGGGGCATCCGACGGGTCGGCTGAGTTCAATGTTACTTCTCCTGTCGATTGCGGGTTCATCACGAATGATAATGCCGTGAGGTAGCTGTCTGTTGGTTTTAAATCGTAATCTCCGACATATAGAGGCGGAGTATGCTATAGTATCCGGTCAGTCATCGAGCATTAGGTTTTTAGTTTCTCAGGAGTTGCCCACCGTGGCTACTTCGAAGATCGGGACCGTGGGCTTCTTTATATGTTCTTGGATATTCTCGTCAAGTGATTTGAATTCATCAGATGCTAAGACCCGGTCATTTTTGAACCAGCCCATAGGTACGCCACAGTACCTGAAAGTCGTCAGTTGTCAACGGTTTCGATACATTGCACAAAGCAACATATGGCGATGATAGGATGCATGATTTTCGAGGAAGCAGAATTGTTGGGCCCACTTATCACTTACATAGTACGCATAAGACCTGACTTGTCCTTTTGATATTGTGCTCTTGCTGCTTCTGAATTTGCCTCAAACGTTGAGCGGTCATCGGTGCCTGGATTGCGAAGAAGCGTTGCGGTTGAGAAACAATGATCTTGCAGATTTTGACCAATCTCTGGAGCTTCGATCTTTATTGGTATGCCGTGTTTTTCCAGTTCTTTGGCGGGTCCAATCCCAGACAGCATCAGCAGTTGTGGTGTATTGAGAGCCTGTATCTATATCAGCTCAAGATTTCAACATGCTAGCAGCTGAGTCAATGAGTAAAACTACTTACCCCAAGTGAAAGGATAACGTCATATCGGGCAGAAAACGCTCTGCCGTCGATAGTTCTGATACCAGTGGCTCTGTTGCCTGAGAAGATAATCTCTGCTGCTGGCGAGTTTACCATGATATTGAGGTTTGGGGGCGCATTTTTTAAATAATCAGCAGCAGTTGTCCTTTCCCCGTCGTAAACACAACCAGCCCCCATTCCCATGCCGATCGGGTTTCCGGAGTTGACATCGAGGTTCACGTCCATGCCGACCTCTTGAGCCGCTTCAAAAACATCGGCCATTCCCTTCTCCCATGGATCTGCATAGGATAAGTGGATCGGCCCAGTCGTTCCATGATCTATGTGGATCTCTTAGCTTTTGCTTCGAAGTTCTGCACTGTTTTAAGGAACAACCTTCTGCTTTGGGATTGACAAACTTCCGATGTTCTGCAGGTACCTCGACGTGATAGCTCTCAATCTTCTTCAATCTCTGCTTCACGTTCGTCCAATTCCAAGCATCGTCGCCAACCTTTCTCGCCCACTAAATGAACTTAGTATTTGTCATCTCTCAAGGGACAAAAGCGAGTAAGGGAGAAGGGAAAGCGACCACGGCCCGAAAGAGCTCTTGGCGGTAGCGAGGAAGTGTGGACAGATGGACAGAGAGTTTCTCGGCATACCTCATTGTAGTCCTCATCAGGACCAATCACCCAGCAGGAGAAATTGATAGCAGTACTGCCTCCGAGACCCTTACCTCGAGAATAGTCGATTTCTTGTCTCTTGAGATGCTGCTGGGGAACAGTTTTATACCCCCAGTTGAGCGAAGGCTCTCTGAATGCCAGCGCAAAGCGGTCGGCAGGAACACGATAGGAGGCATCGTCGTTTTTGCCGCCTGCTTCCAGGAGGAGTACGGACGGTTTCTTCTCGGATTGAGCCAATCTGGCGGCGATGACACACCCAGAAGCACCGCTGGTCCCAGGTGAGTACAATGGACTTGGATGGTAGGGGAATACTGACGCTCCGACGATTATAAAATCAAACTCAGAAAACATTATAAACTATACAAGTCTAGCTTCAATTCGTGCGATAGTATCTCCCAACTTAGGTCTCGCTGATAAACTGGCGGAAGAGATATTTGCAGAGAACAACAAGCTCGTGAGCTATATAGAAGATGTGTTTTAAATGTTCACTCCTGGTATCGCCCCACTCTCTCGCCGAAAGAAGCCTGCACGCTGAACTGTACGTCGAGGCACCTCTTGCAACAGTCAGCACACTTGCATATGATCTTACCACTCCAAAGCCGCACCCTTCTTCGAATACCCTCCAGATACCCTACCCGACGCCAACCCGATCTGGAGTTTGCTCTTCTTGGGACCCCAAAGAAAGGTCACGTGGATTGTGAATTCGATGCAAAAAGCTGATCCTTGAGCAGCTTAGTAAATAAATGCTGGATCTTGGGGGACACTCCTTCGAGACTATTCAAGATGTTATATTTTATCAACAGTCCTATAGTCGTGGAGAAGTGCGGAATCAAAGCGTGGGAATGCGGGGCAATTTTGGGATGGACCTAGTGCGGCCCCAGCTCCAATGGTTAGCCGCATGCGTGGCCAATCAGAAGTTCTTTCCAAACACAATTATTCGCCATTGACGAAGCTGGAAAAGCCGAGGGATGTACGCTGGGGTTCCGGCATCTGCGCACGGGTACAGTAGGGCTGTTCTCCATGCATCGGTCACGATGGCATTGCTTTTCAAGATCCGACAACATCAATTGTAGTTCCTAGGGAGGTTGGATCACAGAGTTCTCAATCTCCTAGAGAGGTGTGAATTCACCTTCTCTCCATCAAGACTTCATTTGAGGAAGGATGGTTTACCTAGATCCAAGAACGTACATCTGGACCTCAGACCAAGACTCCTGCAGATTTGTCAATCTACCTCTTGACGAGACCTTTGTTCCAAACAGAGACTGTGTGCATTCCCTGATTTCTCCATATCATTGCTAGGATTTGGCATTTGAGAAGCTAGTCCGTCAGTCATGGTGTTAAAGTCGAGCCAGCATGCGGAGAATGCGAAAATACTGCACCTAACATAGAACGGGACTTGATGCTTTCAATGAAGGCTTAGATACATTGCATCAACTAAACCAGTACCAGTCAGTGCACCTTGTAATTGTATGCGATCTTTTTCCATCTGTACAAAAGTTTGAGAGCTCGCATAGCTGATGCGGGCGAAGCATGCGAGAAAAAGCAATGAGGAGACTTCTCGCTCGGGAAAGGGCTCTTGAGCCTAGACTCGTCGTTTAGATTTGCTACTTATCGCCATAGAAATATGTCTCCTCCTACCACAGCTCTTGTGCTCCCATATCTCCATTGAAGGTAGTCAGTGCACTTCTTGCGTCTTCGGAAGTGGAGCCGCAAGATTACTGCCGAACTCTGACCATGCTTAGGTCTCATATATCATTTGGAGACCATGGCTCGCTCTCGGAGCCCCAACCAAGATCCCTTGTTGTAGCTACAATCCGAACCTCACTTGGTATAGAATGAAATGGAACGCATCTAGAGAATAGGGCTCAAATTGATCAGGATCTTCGCGTCTCATGGAACAGGCATTGAAACGATAGAGAAGTTTTTGCTGAAGCATTCCTCGACAGATTACACAATTCGCCCTTACAATTTGAAGTACCTAAGCTCGAATTCAAATAAGAGTCGCAACAAATGGCAGCAAACCAACAGCAGTTAATGACAGGTAGCCACTTAGCGAGTTAGGTTTGAAGAGACGACAAACTGCAAGGCACTTTGAAGTGTGGCATTCAAGGTGAGAAGAGCCACACAATTTGAAAGAGCGGCAACTGAACAATATTCCTCCCTGATATATGGACTATCACACCTCTCAAACATATCTTAATTTGGAAGATCAATCTAGAAACCAATCCATACCTACCTACCTGTGACTTGCGGGGTCCTGAACTCTTGGTAAGGTGAAGCAAAAGATACACTCGGCTCTTCAATTACATGCAGAAGCAACGATAGCTAGAAAGCTACGATTGCTGATGCTTCGGTTTCGTCACCAGACCACAACCACGGCAGTGATAAGTCCTGAGGCAGGTTCCCCTTTCCAGTCATTGCCAGTTCAGACCTAGTGAGAAGCGGTCGAGTATACCTAGGTAGGGTACCACGGCCTTTGAAAACGTGACGGTCAAAGTTTCTCCCGTTGTTCTCATCAGAGGCCGGAGTCAACTATTTGGCATATCATTCATCGCCATCCTCCAACTCTTCCTTCGTCCCACCTCTCTTTCCGCTCTTGGCGCGCATAGTATATCTTCTTTGCATCGCGGTACCTTCGCACCCACTCCGTAGCCTCTCTCTCTGGAGCTACTCCTCCATCACCTTCAAGGAAACTTTCTTCCAGTGCTCTGCAAACCATCTCTTGTTCTTGCACACCGGAACTGAGCCTTTGGTACAACGAGGAGGGTGAAAATGGGGCTAGCGCGCGATCCATGTCAGACTGTTTCTGCCGCCACTGTCGTTCAAGAGCATGCATTGACAGTAGCTGGGCTTGCGTTGAGGACCTCAAATGAGTGAGTCTGCCCTCGAGCTCGACAAGATGCGTTGCGAGAGCATTGTTGTCTTGCAAGGCAGCTTGTAAGGGTTCCTGGGTTGCAGCAATGGATGGATGAGCCGTCGAGGTCGAATGTGCAAGTGCAGCCAGAAGCTCAGGTCTCGCTAGGACGTCGCCAAGATCGTGCTTCCTTAAGAAATAGTTAGCTCACATCCCGGTGGGCAAATCCGCAACGTTACAACGGACGATTTATCCTCTAAAACCTTTGGAAGCCATTGTTCACCAGGGTCCTGAAGCTGCTGCGCACGAGCTGCCTCATGAAGTCGGGCTTGCTGTATCGGCCGCTGATCTTCTGAAGTGCTTCCATAAGTGCCGAACGCTTCCTGCTGCTGTGGAGGCGGGGGTGGGAGCAAGGGTTGGCTGCCGGCTGGGGTGCTGCGACGACTGACCTCTTGACTGCTCGGTTTTGGCGGAGGCGCCGGCGGAGTGTTGGGGTCGAAAGATTGAGAGTTTCGGTGGGATGCGTATGGTGCATACGCTGGTGACGGAGAGGACATGCTGAATCGAGGAAGAGAAGGTGAAAGGAAGAACGTTGCGGCGCCGGTTCCCTCGAATTAGTGTTGAATTATCAAGAATACTTTGTCCAGGCTGCCTGACCCTTTCTTCTCGACATCGGTGATTGATGGACAGACGGATTTATTCTGTTATCGAAGACGACGAGGAATGAGGAGGCTGATTCGACGTTGTTGATGTAGAAGGAGGTGATAATGTACGGAGTTGCGAACTTGAATTTAGACTATCTGAACCCCACATTGTCCAGCTTCGGCTTAGCTCACTCAGCCTAGCTTGCATGCTCGACCAGAGAAAGAGAAAGAGAGACGAGAAGAACTAGAACATCGACGGTCGGCTCCTGCTAATGATACATGATTACAGAACAATCATATACGGTACTTCGTAGCTGCGGTGCGCAGCTTGAGCGAAACAACAGCAGAGTTGAATTGCTGACACTTTCCCCCCAGACCCAACCTGGCCTGCCTTTGCTACTACGTACCGGTCTACCGTGCAGAAACGTACGAGTACGGTACGTGAGTGTTGACCCTCAGAAACGAGCCTGGCATGGCCTGGAATTACTCTCGGAGCGATTACAGCATCCTCGGCCCGATTCCGCGATGATCACTACCAAAACACCATCGCGGGAAATGAAGCCTGGTCCTGCTCGCAGCGCACCGTGCCAACTCATTATTCAGACCCAAGTGGAAGATGGATAGCGAGGATAGATATAGATATGATTGTGGTTGGGATCGGGACGGATTCGACTGGACGTCTGGGACCCTGACGGCAGCGCAAATTCTCCGTGATGCGGCGGAGGTGATCTACGAAGTACTTGCTACTTAGCTAGGAGGCTCCTTGGGATGGGATGGGATGGGATGGGGCGACAACATGCTGAGATGAGCTCCATGGCAGTCCCGGGGTGACTACTCCCGCCGGTAGACGCAGATTACTGTTCAGCGTTGCGACGATCATGAACATGTTATTAGACTCTGCGAGATCAGCATATGAGATGAGATGTGGTTATTTACAGTACTCCAGCATCAGATCTAGGATCTGCGGGGGAGATTGGGAGAATCATGTCGTTGACCTGGGATTTTCACACGAAGGCATCCTGTAGATGTAGAGAGAACGTGAGGGTTCTGGTTCTGGGAGAGGTGCTATGGATCGTCGAGACTTCGAGGCGTGGAACATTTCGATTGTCCAGGCTTCACCGGCAAAATCCCTCCAAGTGATGCTATACCAGAACTCACCATCCCATGCCCGCCAGAGGAGAGATTAAAGTAAGGCGGAGAGGAAAGAAGAAGAGGGAGGAGAGTTGGGTACAGTACCGTATGTATGTCAGTATCTATCTGTCTGGTGATTTGACCGTGATCGTGAGGGTGATCGTGAGGGTGGATCACCAACTAACTGACGGACGGTCGCTGGCTCTAGCTCTGGCTGTCGAGGTTCAGTTCGTGGCTGTACTGTACGAGGACTCACACTCACACTCAGACTCAAAGAGACTCGGCGGTTCCTGTCTGATAGATCCACAATGCCTCTGGCCTCTGGGCCTTTCTTCCCCCCTCTGGTCCTGTAGGTCCTGTAGGTCCTGTATTTACCCATGAGAATGTATTTGCCGGGAGGCTACTTTTCTCGCTATTCGGGCCTACTCTTATCCAATCGCCGTGCGCTCCTTCTTCGCCCACCCCAATTCCGTTCCACTCCACCATCCACCATCCACCATCCATCCCATCGTCCAAACTACCACGACCACCACCACCAGAACGAGTCTGCGAAGTCTGTACTGCCTTCTCCTCTACTCCCCCACGACTTCGACCCATCTCGACGACCTCCAAGAGTCCTCACGCAGCATTCAGACATTCGCACTCCTCGACCCCTTACGAATCCGCGCACTTCCCGGACGCTGTCGTCGACCTGGTCAGATACCCCCCAGGGCCCATTGAGCATCCCGCCTGAATTCGATCGCGTTTGCATTGCTCCCCATTACTCTCGCATCTTCCTCCCCTTCGAATCCGAAGTCACACGCTTTGACGATTCAAACTCCCTCGCCCTGACACTTCACCACCACAGCGACCGCCCGTCCTCGTTCTCTGCTCATGGGCCTGGAGATCCTAATCTAAGTTTGGGGCAAGCCGCCATCGTCTCCTTCTCCGTTTGACTTTGGCCGTGTAGCCGGCAGTTCAATGATGCATAAGCATCAAACGTACGACCACGATTCTCAATTCCTCCTTGCCCTCTGCGCAACGTTGAGCGTTCCCTTCTGAAGTCCGTCAACGCCTCGGATTCTGATATGCTTTACCAATTACACCTCTTTTCATCTCTGCGACCGGATGGCATAACCGCCAAACGCAGGACATCATGGATCCTCTCCACATCACTGAATTCGCCTCGGAGCGATATTTCAGTAAATTAAGACAGCTCAATGAGAATGCGGAGAGCGCGTCGTCTTTATCCTCAGCAACTCCCGCAACACCAGCAAATGCACCTCCACTACCCCCATTGCAAGGCCCTACCTTCACTCTACCGTTAGGACGACAACGGTCACTGGACAACGAACTTCCTCCTCTTACTCTTCGACCGAGTGACCAGAAGAAACGATCTCTTGGTCATGACCTCACGGCTTTGCGAACGCAACGACGGCCTAGCTTTACCGGTTCATTTGGCCGCTTGAGCTCAAAGGTCAATGTCATACACAAGACCCCTTCAATTGTTGAGCATCATGAACAAATCCTCGCAGAGGACCCAAGCGCGCCCCCGAAGTATGTACCCTGATGTTACAAGCGCCCGAATCCACACTGATCCTCTACAGTTTAAGCTTGTGTGATCTTTTCCTCGCCTTACCGACTGAACTCCAAGCCCAGATAATTTCACCCCTTCCGATCCATACCATCCTCACCTTACGATTGGTGTCGAAGTCATTTCATACTATAGTAACTCTCAACGAGTCTCCGATAGCTCGATATCATGTTTCTCATAGCCTTCCTTCATATGCTTTGCGATTATACCCCTTACCGGATCCTACCGAGATCAATCTTCATTACCTATGCAGTATCTGGCACCGCTTACATGTGGCGCTGAAGCTATCTACCATGATCGCATCTCAAGCCACAAAAGAGATATTCTTACGGACCACGGAGGCCCAACGACTGGAGTTTGAGCCTCAACATCGGCGGATGCGGCAAAGGCTGATGCCACTCGTGTTTACTCTTTTTCATTTCTTCGAAACATATCGTAATCTTCACGTCCAACTACTGATGTCCAATGGTCTCCCCTTGAGCCATCAGCCATTTACACTCAATCCAATTGAAACCCAGGTTATGGAAATGTATGATGATCAAACACTTTTGAAGGTTCATCAAGTGTTCCCCCTCGTGGTCTCGTCTTTTTCTCGACGACTAAGGCCGCCTTCTTATGCTGGACGACTGGAAAGGTCACTGAAAGGATACCTCAAGGATCGGCCACCTGACGAAGTCTATGCTACCATCCTAGCAGTGGGGGGACTGCGCCAGGCCCAAAGGTTTTGGGAAACGAAAGGATACAACGCGAGGCGTGCAGCTGTGGACACATGGTACGGGTTTGTTACAAGAAGCCCAATCGAGGCACCAGCGAAGTCCAAGATGTCTCTTCAGAAGATCACACACTTGGGCCGAAAAAAGGCCAACCCAGTTATTGAAGCAGCAAATTCAGAAGTTGCAGCTGGCCATGATCTGACTAGCTGCAATGAATGGTTTTGTGTCAAACCTTCCTGCCAGGCTTCTCGACGAAGGCATTCGACCGACAACCTCGTCTTCCACAGCAGCTTAGCTGCAGGTCCTCCCATGAGCCCTCTTACACGTGACCAACTTCGGTTGGTGCTCCCCGATCTTCAGCACTTGTCCAATATATGGATGCATACAGCGGAAGCATTGATTTTGGAACGAAAAATAGTTGATCGGCCTCAGGATATCAAACGCAATACCCAAGTTTTGTTAGAACTCATCCGAGACGATGGTACGGATGGAACGGATGATTGGACGACAGGCAATACCTCCGAGATAACTCGAAGAGCGGCCGCAGAGCCTCAAGATGGGAATGTTTCTGATTAGTGTTAGTAGTTTGGATAGCATTGCTGGCGTCATTGAAGCGGTTTCGGGAGTTGTATGTGTACAATCGTGCCTGCAAATATGGAGTCTAGGATTAGGGCATTTGGATAGAATCATATACGTCCGCAATCAATGGATGATGCACGAATAAATCTTCAAAACTCTTGTCTTTGGCTAGTAGTTCCGCTTGCTCGCTGATTCGTATTGTAATTATGCCATTCAAGATACGCGTAATTTTCTGTTCTCTTTGCCTTCATGGTCCCCTGGCTCCCAGTCGCATTCGATTATATTTATCAAGGTATGAAGAGTTCAAAAGTACACGATAACGCCATCCATCCTTTCTTCCTTTCATAGATCATCATTTAATTGTAACAAGGGGGTATCTTATCAATCACCTCCGGAATCCTCGAAGCAGACGCTCTCTCATCTCATTCTCAGTCGGACCCGTATCAAACGCATTCCCCAGGCCTGATGGTGACGTCCCATATGCGGAGTTAGTATGTGTTGTTGATCGCGAGACTCCTCTCAGAAGATCATTGGTGTTCGCATCAAAAGCACTATTCAGACCTGAGCTGCTGCCGTACAAAGTGTTACTGCTTGCGGATGATCGAGCGGGAGTACCGAGTCCAACGCTCATCCCTTGACCGTAATTGCCCGTAGCAAGACCCACGCTTTGGCTGTTGCTACTTCCGGCATGGCCAAGAGATTCTAGAGTCGGGAGATCAATGTAGGTCGAGTCTGAGAAATGGCTGTAATGGTTTTGATGAGAAGGTTGGGTTTGCGGATGGGAGCGTGTCGTTGTATAAGAGGGTGTTGGTTGGGCCATGGAATGTGTACTCGGGGTTCGGTAAGGATTTTCGGCTTGAGAATACGATGGTGATGGCTGCGTGATGTTTTGAGTATTGGTGTTCCTGAATGTCGTATCACTTTGCGAGAAAGACGGCGAGGGTTGAGCAAGGGTATGGGGGCTGGCGGTTCGATACGTATTCTCTGCTTGGGAAAACTGAGGTGACGCTTGAGCTAGGGTGTGTGTACTGGAGCTTCGGTAACTGTTGTTGCTCATCTGAGGCGATGCTTGGTGGGAACCATACAGCTGCGATGGCTGGTGAGATGGGTATTGCTGGCTGTAATTAGCCGAAACTTGATTACGTTGATTATAAAATGTCGTTGATGATGGCCGTGATGTTGCCTGCACCATCTTCTGTTCTTCTCGTTGCACATTCTGCTGGGCATTCTGTTGGACGCTTTGCTGAACGCTTTGAACGTTTGGTTGAGCATTCTGCTGGGTATTTTGCTGGACGCTTTGCTGGGCATTCTGCTGGTGATTTTGCTGCGACTTTTGGTGCTGCATTTGATGCTGTTGCAATTGAGTAGTGGTTTGCTGCGGTGGAACGGCTGATGATGGCTTTGATTGTTGGCGAATTTGTTGTTGTGATACAGACGGGGTACTTCGACCATTTTGCTGTTGCTGAAGACTGACAAACCTCTCATAGTGCGCCTCGAGACCTTCTGCTGGTGGTCGACTTGGGGGGATACTCTGCTGAGAAGCCGTGGCTTGAGAGTCGGGGATTGTACTTGGGGGTATCGGGGGAGTAGCACTATTGACGATAGACGCAGTTTGATTGCGTGATGGTGGATCATTTGTGCTAGGGGCTTTTGGCTTTCTTTGCCGAGGACGTTTGGCTGGTGGAGGAGCTGCTTGTGGTGTTGGTTCTACTGCAGCCCATTGAAGCCCCTCCTTAGCGACAGTCAGAGGACTCTCATTCCCAGAGGGGACATTTCCCAAGCTCCCAACTTTCTGGGCTGATTGAGACTTTTCAGGTTGGAATGCTGGCACCGAGGTAGGCGCTGGTTTGGGTTTCGGAGGCGCACGCTTACGCTTCTGACCAGCCTCAGGTGGAGGCTTCGAAGTTGTAATAGGAGATGGCACAGCATTTGCAGCTTCAGGTCCATGATGTCTGAAGGCCTCAATGACAGCCTTTTCTTCAGGACTAAGTTCGTCCACTTGAGGCAGATTCGTAGGGTTTGTAGTCTGGTTCTGCTGGAAATTGTTTGGCCAGGACTGCTCTGAGTATTGAAGGGTTTGATGTGGCTTTGAGGTCGTTGCTTGGTTGTTTGCGACGGGAGTGAAAGCTGGCAGGGCAGCTGCAGGAACACTCGTTTTTGAATGGGTGGGCTTATTGACAGCTGCTTGTGCTTGAGGAGACTCGGAACCTTGCTGACCCTGTGTCTGCCCTGCAACTGGAGCATTCGGCTCAAAACCTTCCGATCCTCCTTCACCTCGACCTTTGTTCCTAGAGCCCTTTGGCCTGCCTCGCCTCCTCTTATTCGTGGATGTATTTCCATCGTTGTGTTCCTCCAACTGCTGTTTGATAGGCGTAGCAGGGCTCTGCTGTTCTGGTTGTTTGTTCTGACTTGGACCGTTATTGGGAATGATCCTAGTTTCCGGTAATGGAATTGGCGTCATTTGCGGTGTATTTACCAGTCCAAGAGATGGCGGTAAGCCCCAAGCCGGTGCAGACACAGCTGGACCAAATCCATAGCCATTCCTCGAATTAGGAGGCTCGTGAGAAGCGTCTCCTTCCACTGAAATTCTATTGCCCTTGGTCTGCTTGCCCTTCTTCTTTCCAGCGCCCGGCATCACGTCTCTTGGTATCTCGGGACTTCGAGCTGTGACATCTGGAAAAATCTCTGCTAACCAGCCGATAAATAACGCGCCAGTTTCTCTGGTGTTCGCGCTTTCGGGGAAAATACCATCCTCTGGAGGTGGAGCGCCAGGTATTCCTCCAAAGTACGCGACGGCTTTGCAGATTTGATCAACCACGGTCACTGGATTTATACTTCGTAATAGGGTGAGGAGTCGAGCTTGCTCAATCTTCGTTTCGTCAGGTGCTAAAGGTCTGCCACGCTGCTTGTGATCGTCTCTCGAAAATGGTGACCCGCGACTCGTAGATGGGCCGTCCAAGCTCGCCTCCAAACCTCTCTTCTTTGGAGGTACATACTTCTCAGATTGCGCTGCTTTTGCTCGGGAGGCAGTATTCTCGCTCGTCCGTCTGGCAGCGGCATCACGTTCAGCGGCGGCATCCTTGCCTTGACCCTCGTTCTTCTTCCCCGGACTCATCCCCATGCTCATGACGCCGAAGGCTCCAGAGTTGTTATCTGTTTTCCCTTTCAGCTTACTAGGTACTGGATTCCTCACTCTGCCGTCTTTGTTTGGGCCGAGAATACCCTCGACTGTTGGATTTGATGTCAGCTCGACCAGGTCGAGGGCACCACCAAGGCCGCTAGGAGAATGAGTGGGATTGTGATCGAGAGGTTTCGTCCTCGAAGTCGCGGCAGAAGGTATGCGCTCCTGGTTCTGGCCTGAGGGAGGGCGAGCTTGCGCCATCTGTTCTGATGCGTCTGGAATAGGTGCTGGCGAGCGAGCATCAGCCGTCGTCGCGTTTGACAGACCTCCAAACTGTATGAGTCGGAATTGGTTCAAGCTCTGGCCCGCTACAGCTGCGTGGCCCACAGGGGCTGTTGCCATAATCGCATCTGATAGAATTTCGAGGTTATCGCCATGGCATTGTCCTAGAAGGTCCTCGACGTGATGGATGGCTGGGGCTAGTCTACAAGGCTCGTTCAACCACCAGGAGCGCTTTAACGAGCAACGAATCACAGGCGAGAAACTCTATAAATAACAATATTGAACCATTTGCCTGAGCGAAAGTGTCTTTGAATGGCTCCGAAGGCACTTCCACTGCCGTCAATTGTGCTCCTTGTGCTCCTATCCCGTGTCATGCCCACATATCCAACATACCGTCCAGTCGCTTTGACTCGTCCAAGTTGTTCATCGCGAGCAGGTGTGGTGGCGCAGCCGTATTGTTCTATATACCGTGCTAGGCACACAAAATCACTATCACACAAGCTCGGATCGCTGCAAGTTCGTGCGCACCCAGCGCAGATGATTATTGGCATTTTCAGAATCCCCTACGAGTACATTCCCTCTGAGATACAATACAAGCTCAAGCTCACCTCCTGCTTAGTGTTCTGCGATGCCACGCTCATTCAGATCTTCTTTCTTTACGCTCCACAAGTCATGCGTCCATCCCTTCATCCTCAACTTCTTACTCTTCGATGATCCTGGCTTTTGTGAGGTTGCTAAGAGCAGGTTCTTGCTAGAGAAAGCAAGAGTCTCGACGAGTTCTTGCATCTGTCCTGTACTCATGAACACACTTAGCAGATCAGAGTCCTCATCGGCGACCATAGTAGCAAAATCCATGCACTCTAACAAGAAATCACGGCTGAGATGCTGGCCTGCAAATTGCAATGTGGTGATGTAAGCTAGAAGAGTCTCTGGAAGGTATGCCTCGCGGAGACGTCTCAAGTCAGCTGCGAGATTTTCTGGCAAGCCTGTTAGTATAGGACGTATAGGACGTAGTGGGATGGAAATGGAAACATGCCATTTTGAAAAGTTGTCAGCCAGCCCTTGAGGAGCGGTTGCACGGTAAACTTGGTTGGTTTGAGTGCTGCTGCCAGCTGCTGTCTCCAGCTCTTCTGCCAAGTGTTGACATCACTTTGTCTGGATGAGGTGTTAGTGGAGGATTTGCGGAAGGAACAGAGTTGGCGCTTACTCGTTGATCAGACATTCCATACTCGCAACTGTCTCGATATTATCCAGACATTCTATGAGGTTCTCTAGTTCTCTGTAATTCTTGGCTTCATCAAGTAGATGCTTGCGTAGCAGCCTTTTCTGATCAGCTGAACCATCGAGCACCTCTGTCAGATCCTCATCATCGCCTAATTCCAGCGACTCGAAATCATAGCTGTCTCCCAGAATTGCTCGAGTCTTGATCTGACAAATCATGGCAGCTGAAACCCTCACTGCAAGCTTTCGTGCCGCATTCAGATGCATGTGCTCTACACAATTTTAGCGGCGACACAATTACTAATGATGGACACTTACTGAAGAAACGCAGATATAACATGGTCCCGACAGTAAAGGTCTGCTTCCAGAGCCCATCTACCAAGAGATACCATTCTAAGCTTCTTATCAAGAGCATATCGACCCTGTCAATTTTATCAGGATCCTCACCAAAGAAGTCCTTGCGAACTCTTCGATGAGTTCCTTTGGGCACAGGGGAATCGTCAAACAGCTTGAAGTTACCAGACGCAGGAAATGAAGAGACGGTATCCTCGTAGTCGCTCAACAAGAATCGCGCTTGCAAGCCAACAAACTCTTGCACATCAAGGCCTAGTTCTCTCATCAACTTGATCTGTGTGACGCGTTGTTCGTGGTCGGTAACATCGATTAGATTTCGGCACAGAATAGCGTATCTTCGTTGCCCAGACAATTGAGATGAGTATAAGGGAATTAGTTCTTCTTTGCCGGCAAGTCGAAGGAAGCTTATATACGCCACAATGACATTTTCCACCTCGGTTTCACGAAAGACGCCACCAAGGTCAAGACCCAGTCCCATGAATATAAGCAAAACATGAGTGAGCACTCTCAAACTGTCATGGTCATCCAAGGCAATGTATTTGGTGAAATCCTCATTCTCGGGCTGATTTCTGTTCGGTGGTATGAGACTTGATACCCCCTTAGCATTAGCAAATTTTGACAAAGCGAGGCCTTGCTGATAGATAAAATTCGAAAAGTCGTTGGCAATCAGAACTCCTTGAAGCATCTTCATAGGCTGTACCGTTTCCTCCGAGGTTCGAGGATGAGTTTGAAGATGGCTGACAAGTCGTTTCCCAGCACTGAGAGGGTCGCCGTAGAACTGCACTGCATCAAACACGCCAGTGTGTGACGAACCAACAGGCTTGTTGTTCCGAGGTTGAACTTGCTCCAGGTAGCTATCGAACTGTGCCCTAAGTAGCGCATTGTAGTGAGCAAAGACGAAATCGTCCCATGAATCACAGACAGGCTCTACGCTAGAGATGTCGCCGCTCAGAATACCGTAGACTGCTCGCTCGTAGTCATCGCCCCCTCCATTATGGGCAAGAGTGAAACACATTCGTCGCCAAAGGGCAGTCGCGTCTGCGTTGCCAGAGATATCTTCGTTTTGTGAGGTTTGATCTGGGAAGCCTGACATGCTAATGGCTCTCCAAATCTCTGTGTACTCCTCGCAAGTCTCTCGAATACGTCTCGAGTCCCATCCGCGGCGTAGCATCTCGTAGCATGCTAGCCAAATGGACCGTTCGAAATGCTCATCCTGGATTTCTAGTCGACGCCGCTGGCGGGTTGTGGCATCGGGGTCTAGTTGTGTGACTAGAGGTTCTGTCCCAGCAAGATTGAAGAGATCTCTTGGTGCCGATGTTGGGTCGAGTGGGCCGGAAGAGGAGTTGTGAATCTTCTGTTTCTTGATTGCTGCCTTGGTATGAATCCACCCGTGAGCAGTAATTTCTCCTCGATCAGCATTCTGTTGAAGATCTTTCACCAGTTCCGTAATATCCTCACGATTATTCTCGGCCGTTGCTTCCAACCATTGCAGAACAGTTTTTCTCTCTAGAGCGAGCTTATCTGTCTCGAGAAAATGCTCCCAAATATCACGTTGCGTGGAGTACTGATGGACCCGTTTGTGTCCAGCAGTTGTGGCTACAGAGTCAGGCGATGGGAATCTGAGTTGAACAAGGCGACGCAAGAGATCCCAAGTCTGTTCTTCCTGTTTCCAACGCTCCAGATCTGTCAGGCTCGTCTGTTGCTGAGAGTACGGGGAGCCTTGTTCGGAATCCTCGACGTCCATCTTGTCATCGGTAGTGGGGGCCGCAAAGCTGGATACCTTCTTCCTCGATTGGCGCGCAACCTTTCGTATCTCCGTCGCATGACTCTTTTCCAGTCGCTGCACAGTGTCCTTTGCAACACCGTGATAAAGTTCGATCAAGTCGAACATCATCTCCCGTCGTTCATCATCTATGATCGTTCTCTTAGGATTGTAGGCATCTAAGACTTCTGCGAATCGCTCTACCTCTCTTCCGACTCTGTTTGCAGCTTCACGCAGGGGATGGAGAATGTCTTCGTGGTCATCTGGACTAGTCAGGGGAGGTTGGTTTTCATAATCTGCGAGCAATATGTCAGTCCATGTTCTAGAGAAACTTGATCCAAGAACAATCTTGGAGTACGCTGACCATAATCTTCTTCTTCTGCTCTAGAACCGACGTCTGCATCCTCATCATAGGATGAAGGTGGTTCTTCAGATAGCTCACGATCGGATCGAGATTGAGGCTGCGCAAAATTGTCAGTCAAAGTGGGAACATCCCAGGAGATGAACACTGACTGCTACAAACTGCCAGCTGGCTTCACGAAATCTCTGCTGTAGAAGAGGTCAGTTTCTGCTTCCCATCAGTAAATCATGATAGGTCTTTACCTGGGGAGGAGGAGGTAGGTCATCTGAAAGAGAGACGAGCGCGTTACTACGTGTCATCATCGGCGCCATGATGATAGATGATGGCGACTGCAGTGTGGAAGAAGTGTCGTTGTTCGTTTTGGATCTTCTCCTTCAACGCGACTATATCTTCAAGAAGTTGAAGTGGAGCTGTCTGAAAGAGGCTAGCGTAGATTTAAGCTTAGCGTATTTTGCGGAAGCATAAAAGTTCGAGTTCGCGAGATTTTTTCTATTCTCTCCAAACATAATGTCAAAGGCCTTCTACTTAGAGTCTCGGAATAAGTCTCCTCTGGAGTAACCATCATTACTTATTCAGGCCCTTAGGGTCTCTTGCGCGCTCATGATCGCCCAGAGAAAATTCGATCCTTCCTGTTACAGTTCCCTGACCTTTTGGGCTGATGATGGGCAGTTAACTTGGAGTCTCACACGCACACGCATATTGTTTGGACGATAGCATCAGTCTGGAAACTTCGAATTCCCTTGCATCTTATTTAGCTCGATGCCATGAGTGTACATCTAACGTGCTCCGCCATGACCTAGCTTCTCGACCCAGTCTCCCGATTCTCATCCATCCTCTGCCTCATTTTCAAGCGCAGTAGGCTAGCTTTTGGACAACTGACAGATTTTGCATCATCGCCATTATTGGAGTAGAAAGCGTTGCAACAATCATACCTAATGCTCAGTTAGCTCTTTTGCTTCATGTATACTCCTATCAAATAAGTACAGGGCGTCGATCTCGGACCGGCAGGCGCCTTCGTTGTATGAATTCTTGGCTAAGCAAGCTGTCTGTGGTTAGCCTCAGCCTCATTCTCCCCGGAAACTTTTGTCTGGCTTGAATGTCCCAGGACAAGGCCACAAGGCTATTTCAAGATTCGTCACAAGTGGCAAAACAATGAGAATGACACGAACTTTGAATGGCACACTGGAGTAAAACAAATATTGTTAGTCAACACATAATGACTGAGTGCTTGTTTGCATAAGACGCACCGCTCGAGCATGACACTGAGGATCTGTTGCTAAATCATCCTTTTGGCCCTGATTGATTGTAAGCCTATATCCGCGAGAGGAAAAGGAAGCGCACCATGGTCGAACAACGAATAAAGCGCTCACCTTTGTTCAGCTGATAGATGAGGTGGTAAGAAAGGGTATCTCGGTATCTCTTATCAGATTTGTATCTTCTTGGTGACAAAACGCAACAGCCAGTAGCAATTGAAGCCTCCTGGAAAGCGATCGTGCCTAAAAGTTTTACATCCCGACGTGAAGTCGAGGGGGTTAGCGCTAAGCGTGAACCGCTCTACAAAGTTCTTCTTCCCCCACCAACAACTTCTTCTCCACAACATCTCCAGTCTTCCTTACAACACGCAAACCACGGTTCATTCGGCGTTGATAATCCAGTTCATTGCAGTAAGCCCCGCTTCAAAGATTTCTTTATACACAGAGCTCATCACTGACCAGCGCGATAGCCTCACGCACAACTGTTCGATTCTACAATCCACGTCACTGTCAACATGTCTGGATCAGACGATAACGGAAGCCCAGGTGCGCCCGAGAAGCCCGAAGGTGCTGGCCAAAGCGAACATCTCAACATCAAGGTTACGGACAACAACAATGAGGTCTTCTTCAAGATCAAGCGTACTACGGCCCTGAAGAAGCTCATGGACGCGTTCTGTGAGAGACAAGGCAAGGCTCCTACGTCGGTCCGATTCCTCTTCGATGGCAGCCGTGTTCAACCAACCGATAGTCCAGACACTGTAAGCATTATACCTCCCTTTCCGCGACCTTCATCCTACGATGAGATGGGCAATATTTGCCAAGCTTATCTGACGTTTCTACTAGCTTGACATGCAAGACGGAGACACACTCGAAGTACATCAAGAGCAGATCGGTGGCGCGAACTAGATATTTCGACCAGGGCAGGAGGACACATATCTGCGGCATTGAGAAGCAGCTAGACATGGTCGAAGACGGGAGTGTTTGCATCTCGATATGGTACGGGTGACTTCATGGTGGCTATTTCATTTTCAGGCGTGCAAGGAGTCTCTTATCGTGGCATGCTGGCTTTGGGGAGACGGGTTGGCTGATTTCTAGTGCTTGACAATCAAGTCTACCTTGATCTGCCATAGTCCGAGGCAAGGTATGCCTGTTCACGGTGAACGAAGACAATCTCAAAGCAATCAAAAAAAAAATCACTATGCTCGCGGCTCTGGGTGAGAGTATACATTCCCCAGCCCGAAATCACTTCCTTGCCTCTTTGAGTACACACATATACACATATATACAATATCCAACACCATGACAATGCAAGAACTAGATACCTATTCGCCAAGCCATGCACTCCTTTTCAACACTTCTCAATCTTCCCATACAGCCGCTTTGGCGCGTTCGGCCTCTTCTTTAGCTTTCGCAGCAGCTTCTTTCTCCATATTGCGTCTCTTGGTCTCCTTCTCCTTGATGGCTCTATCATAGGCCTTCTGTTCTTCCGTCTTCTTGGGAGCCCTGACACCTAAAGCCCCAGCAATCATTCGCTTTGCCACCGCGTCTGTCTTCTCTGGTCTCGCTCGTTCGGTTCTCGCCTCTGGAGAACCATCTGTACCGATTCCGTAGGGACTAACGAACGACTCCCGGGCAAAAGAGGTAGATGGAGATATTGGAGTTGGGGGAGGTGCGGAGGGATAATCTGCTGATTGCTGTGGGGACAGAGGCCGGTCCGTATCATGTCCAGAGTCCTCGAGCTCCTCATCCTCCCATGATTCCGAGACAGGCTGTTTCTTTCTGAACGAAGCAGCAGATTTCGAGGCTTGCGGATTCAGAGACAAAGTTTTCAAAGACGTTTCGAGTGCTACTTCCGAGTCAGAATCGCACTTACGACAACCGAGGCAGAGAGACTTACCTTTTGCTTCTGCCATAGTGGTGCGGCTTGGAATGTTAATGAGTCTATCGAGTCTTTCTTGGAGAGATGCGCTCGGGCAAGGGATTGCAATCGTCTGCTCGTGCTTCTCAATGGACCTTGAAAGGACAGACAATTGATCGCCAGGTTGTGCGGGCACGGTGCGGGGGGGTGAACCTTGTGTTCCTGGCCACTTGCGATCCAAGATCCTAGATCTAAACCCCGTCAGTCAGATGGGTTCAAATTCGTACGGCACAATTCTAGGCTTTCCACGTCTCGCGTCAACGTCGGTGAAGACGAGGCCATTTGACGTATTCACATTTAGCAATATTTCCTCCCAAACCCCACAAAGTCACACATGTTTTGTGGAGAAAGGGCAAAACCGTGCCGCTGCCGGGAATTACTTGGAGCAGCCTCGGATATAGACTAGCTGTCTAGACTAAGATATGGTCAACGACCTGTCTGAACCTGATCTCTTCCGTGAACAGATAGATATATAATAAACCATTCTCTCCAGGGTGCTTCGAGCATTGTCGAGCTAGGGTGATTGACTTTGTACTACAACTGAGACCAATCATGGCTTCATGGCAGGGAGGCACTCGCGTTCTGCGGGGTAGCACGTGGTCTCGAAAACATGTCCGTTTCAGCACTTCTTCACGTCGACTCTCGTATGCCGATACTGTAGCGAATCTGAAGATCGGGACGCATACGCGGGTGATATTTCAAGGTTTCACAGGTACATCACAGTAAACAAGCACATCACGGACAAGCAGCTGACAGAGTGACTAGGACGTCAAGTGAGATCCCGTTCCATGGTAGTATAATATACGTGTTGAGTCGTTGCCAGGCAACTGCAAATGCAAAGGAATCAATAGCATGGGGTACCAATATTGTAGGAGGGGTCACTCCTGGAAAGAATGGCGAGCATCTAGGACTTCCTGTGCTGTCCACTGTCCGTGAGGTAATGATGCCTCTCGTTGTTCATGGCCGATTGTTAACAGAAAACAACTGTAGGCGATGGAGAAGCTGAGACCAGACGCAACGGGGATTTACGTAGCAGCCCACCAGGCTCCCGCGGCCATAGAAGAAGCCATTGAGGCTGAGGTGAGGCCGTGCATCCATCTTTGCTCATTGCAAAGTTAACTCTTTTACTATTAGGTTCCGCTTGTCATCGCAGTTGCTGAACAGTGAGTGTTCCCCAGACTTTTCTCTCCTTGCTAGCTTTCTGGACAGTCGACTCTATTACCAGTATTCATGTTCCTAAACTTGTACTCAACCTAATCGCTAAGCCTAATTTTTCTTGCACTTGTCTGCCAATTTGCTAAGTAACGGGCTTTCAAGCATACCAATCCACGATATCATGCGAGTAATACATCAGTTTTCCATTTCTAGAGATGCCTAGTAACCATTCTAGATACATTCAATGTTAAAGACCCAATCGAAGTCAAGATTCGTTGGTGCAAATGCTCCCGGCATTATATCAGCAATTGGAAAATGTCGGATTGGATTTCAACCCCTACCTTGTTTCATGCCTGGTCGAATTGGCATCATTGCAAAGTCTGGCACATTGAGCTATGAAGGTAAGGGATTGCCGAGTATCATTGATCCAGACCGCTGAGCGCAAATTAACTTAGCTGTTGCATCAACCACTCGTTCTGGGCTTGGACAGAGTCTCTGCATTGGGATGGGAGGTGATGTCCTTGCTGGAACCAATTTCGTAGATGCTCTGAAAATCTTCGAACACGATGATGACACAGAGGGTATCATCCTCATTGGGGAGATTGGTGGTGAGGCAGAGCTTGATGCTGCGGAATGGATTCGAGAGTACAGAAAGCGAACACCAAATCCCAAGTACAAAAGGATCATAGGCAATAATTTTGACTGCGACTGACTTTGAACAGGCCTATCTCGGCTCTGATTGCTGGTGTTCATGCTGCGCCTGGAAGGGTCATGGGTCACGCAGGTGCTTTTACCTTACCAGGGGAGTCCGATGCCCCAAGAAAGATCAAGCACCTGCAGGATGCTGGGGTAATCATGGTCAACCACCCATCTAAGCTGGGAGACTCCATGAAATCCTTGCTTGGAAGCTCGGGACGGGCTAGTAGTGGACCAGGGGTCTCTCAACGAAGAGGCATTCACACATTGCGAAGAGTACAACTCCAGAATACAATCCGATGGTCCCATGCCGAGCAACGTCGAAACCTATATATTCATGAGGATCAAGCCCTGGACCTCCTTCGAGAGCGGGGTATCAACGCATCCGTCTATTCTGGGAGAGGTCGAAAACGTGTAAGTTAATAGTATCATATCATCCTCGTTCTTATTGTCTTTCCTTGCCAGGCTTGGCCACCTCATACCAAAGACTATTGGGACTCATGTTAATCTCAATCGGTAATTAGATGTTAGGCGTCGCTGTCGACCGAGCAAATCTTTCGCCCTGCGTTATTGCTTCACCAGCAACTGACCCCGACCAACCGCACATCGAGGTCAAAAAATTTCCGTTTGATTATAGAAAAGGTCTTGATCCGATTCGAGTTGCTGCAATCGCTCAGCATCTGCAACTTGGTGAATCGTCGAAGGACTCCCTGCCGAAGCTCATCGATGCTTTGATTGACCTCTACATGAAGAAGGAGGCATTCCAACTAGAGACAATGTTCGTGGAACGTTTAGGCGAGCTCAAAGTAGTCGGGGCGAATTTTGGTTTTGACGATGCAGCTTTTCGAAGTACTAAACGACAGCAAGACGTTCATGCTCTGCGCAGAATCAAGGATGAAGATCCTCAAGAAGTAGAGGCTGAGAAAGATGGCATTGTATACATCAAGCTTGCTGGGGATGGGAATATAGGAACCCTGGTCAATGGAGCTGGGCTTGCGATGAACACTGTCGATGCATTGGCAGATGCTGGTGGTAAGGCTGCGAACTTTCTAGATACAGGGGGCAAAGCTACAAGTGAGACGGTCAAGAAGAGTTTCCAGGTGATCTTGCAAGATCCGAGGGTGAAAGTCATATTTGTGAACATCTTTGGAGGCTTGACCCTAGGTGACATGATTGCCAATGGGATCCTGCTAGCTTTCAAAGAGCTTGAGATGAGACTTCCAGTCGTTGTTAGGATTCGTGGAACGAACGAAGAGGAAGGTCAAAAGATCGTAGGTGTTCTTCTTGCTATATAGCAGACTGAAGCTAAGATATTACACAGATTGCTAATAGTGGATTACCATTGCATGCTTTCGATGACTTCGAAGAAGCGGCCGCCAAGACTATCGAATTAGCGAATCAGGGATAGCCATGAAGCACATATGGCCCTCTATACATATCCCTACCTTATCATCTTCCGCAACTTTGCTGGAGTGCACCTGCTGTACAGAACGATCTTTTATAGCTTTGCGTATCTTGCACTTTGTCCCACGGTCTGTGACCCGACCAGGCTCGATTTACTAGCCGGACATTTACTGGTGCTGTGCAAGGCATTCCCAAATGAGGAGTGTGACCATTACATTACAGTGACTGTAATTACTGTCCGGTGTTCTTCCTTTTCTGCCACCCTCTACTTCACCTACTCTTTGGCTGCCTTAACTCTGCTGTCGTCACCACCGTGGTCTTGAAAAGGTTCCGCCTTCCACCTGTAAATTTGTCGCAGTTGGATTCATCTTGGTTCCTTCCTCAGGCGCCCATCAGCTTGGTCCGAGCCAAGTCAATTCGCTTTCTTCAGACATTTAAACAGGATCAGCACGAGCTGCACGTCAGAAAGCTCAGTTGACACCCTTTATCGGCTGGGTCAGTCGCTTTCAACAAACCTGGAAGCAGCATCCCCAAATTTTCAATTACGAACTTAAACCCTCCGCGATATACTCTGGCAGCAGTCTAAGAAAAAACCTCCATGAGATTGTCTCTGATCCAAGCATAAAGAAATCTCAGATGGACTCATTTCAATTGTAAGTCTACAGTTCCTGATATTAAACAAGCTCTTAGGCTCACCGGACAGGGAGCAATTGCGCTCGAATCAGTGGAAAAGCTCGACGAGTTCCTGCAAGGAATCCTTAAAACGCGATAACCTTCGGCAAATTACTCTGTTTAACACTTAGGAAAATGTGCAAAAACAAATCCTCAATGCTTAGGATGGGCCCACCCATTAAGAATTCGCGATGCTCACTTCTAGCCTCGTTTAGCTAAAGACTTTCACGGAATATCATTTTTGTAAGCTTATTTAAAAGCATGACACATCTATTTTTTGGGGACTACTTAGTCTCATACTTAAGGTACCGTTTGTTATTTTTTATTAAATGAATATATTGATGCTTCTGATTAGTTCGCGCAAAACGGGGACGGCGCCATACCCCGCATTCCTCGCATGCTTCGTGAAGTTTTCCACAAAACCAAAATTCTGAATAAATATTGCGGAGACTTACAAAACTCAACTCCTAAGGCTAAAAAGGCATGTTTTGAGACTGGGTTTACGTTATTGTCGTTCTTCTCCAAGATTATCAAGTTCATGCGCAGCAACTTCACATACTTAACTCTTAGTCAATAATAAAACTTAGCTTTTAGAATATAATTTAGTTTTGATTTAATACTTAGGAATATTACTCGATAGCATATAGCAGCCACTAACACAACAATTATCCTCAACGACGCGAAATATAGACGAAGTATTGTCTCGGATAGTGACGTTGTTTAGATTTGTAGGATTACGAACATTTAGCTAAATAAAAGCGCTTCGAAGGCTTTCAACACTGTCTATATTTTTGATTTTAAAAATTCCAGGGATTTTAGAGGCTCTAAAAAGCTTTCACAATCGAAGGAAAGCGCTAAAT